TGTATATAACAATGCCGATGTATGTATTAATATGTAGTTTCTATGTATTAATACATCTTGTGGTTTTAAGCCGGCATATCATCACAAAAAGTCATGTGGAACAAAGCAGGTTGACATCCAATTTGGACGTTTATGCTGTAGAAATTAGTGTGTGTGTTGGCCATGTCATAGTATATAGCACCCTTCAAGGGTTAAAAGTACAACAGTTGAAGGGTTAAAGTTAAAATTTCCTCCGTACTTTCAGCTGCACGGCAAAACCACTGAAGACAGTTCCTGGATTGTCCCGCACACTCCTACCACAACCCCTTTCCATCCTGTGCAAGGTTTTGCGCTCATCAATAACCTCCCACTTCCCGACAACCGCCGAGTACCCCGAAGCTGGGAGTCTCGATTCTTTACCCAACCCCCCACTCACTCCACCATGATCAAGTCTAACAGTCACGGAGAGATTTGAACTACATGTACGTACTATCTCCGAAATGAAACCGCAAACTCACTGTTTTGTAAAATTTGGCAATTCCAGAAAGATTTAGGGAATGTGAAAGGGGTCACAAGGAAAAAACAGACATACACAAAGTGCATCATTTGCAAAATGGTATCCCAGTTTTTATTCTGTCCAGAAGATTACGACAGAAGAGAGAGACGAGAGGATGAAGTTGTATATCTAAATTTTTAGAGCGACTGATTAATTATATATGCTCCTATCCTCCTTTCTTCTCCACTACATCTCCCACTCTGATTCTAGCGCACGGATAATATACCTGATATTAAATCACTCCCTCTCTTCTCCTTCTCCTCCCTCTCTCTCCCTCCCTCCCCAGATTTATGCGCAGCAGCCACTGGCAGCAGTTCTGGCGCCTCAGTCAATCCTTCACGAAGCCCCTCCCACCTACCCTGGCAACTCTTCCACAGCCTCAGTACACAAACACAAGAACCCTCCACAGGAAGCCCCGCCTCTGGTATGATGTCATTATTACATCATGTATGACATCATTATTGCTTACAAATGATGCACGTCATTGTTTATACACATCATTTGTTACAGATAAGTGCTACTGATATGAGGTCTTCATGGCAGCCAGTGTCCACCTCAGCTAGCAAGCACATGGTTAGTCCACACTATCAACACTCAATAATCGCAACTTTTCACGAGAAAAGAACATTTCGTACACCAAGCAGTCAGCATGCATGAAATTCATGAGAAATTTTAGTGACGACATTATTGGTGCACACAAAATCTATCCGGCTGTTATTTATGTGGTAAATATATACGTTTGTCTTCCCTCTTCTTTCTCCATCCCTCCCAATGCAGCCATCCCAGCAAGGCTCCTCGAGACTGGAGGAGGCCATCTATGTGATGAAAGGACACGCAGACAGGGAAGAGGCAATTTACATGAAGGCCCAGGGAGATCCTCTGGAGGAAGGGATTGGGTCTCCAGGTCTCAATATTCCCCCAGAAGACATCACTGAGAGAATACCTGTTAGTCACTTCTTGAGTATGATTGCATTGAGTATGGGCATGGTGCCTAGCATCATAGATGTATGGGGCTATGATAGGAGTTTTAGTTCGTGCTCTGCTTCTCTTCTTCTGCAACCAGCAGAGACGCATTTAAAAACGAAAGATATAACCCAGTATATAGGGGTGGGCATGGTGCCTAGCATCATAGATGTATGGTGCTATGATAGGGAGTTTTGTTCATCTTCTCGTTCAAGCCCAAAGACTCAAAAACGAACTATAACTTATAGATAAGATATCTGAAATAGACTGGGTTTTTATGTATGTGATACACTATTTCTATAGCTGAGTCGTACACTATAGCCACACATTTCCTTCTTTTGTGAGAATTGGAAAATCAATGTGGTTTTTTTTTTTTCTAATGCAGGCTCATGAACTGAGTGGAGATCTGAGTACCGAAGACACCGTCAATTGTAAGCATAACCTACTTTCTGAGAGCTATATATGATTGAGTCAGAGTTGAGTGTATTTTGTGTATATAACATAGACAGTTCTCCGTGGACCTTCCTCATTCAACGTCGGCACATGCAGTACAGTACTTTGACTTACAGCTTCAGAGAATGTTTTTCCTAGTAACCCTTTGGATGCCATGGGCATATAATTATATATTATGCCCAGAGCCTCCATAAGTCCATAAGAATTTATATGTGGCTATAATACTAGGCGTCAATTTCTGCTCATTAAAGGAGATACCCATGGCACTTCAAAACCCTTACCCCTTTCTTCTGCTGCCTCCCTCACAGTTCCTGGCTCCAGTACTGGATATGAGCGTAAACCACTCATCCGCAGCAGCAGTGCCGGCACCCCCGTTGCCGTGGCATCGTCGTCGTCGTCCCTGGCAACCAACTTTAGTGGGGCAGTTAGCGAGGAGGAGGGGCTGGGGAAACGCAAAGACTCAAAGAAGAAAGGCAAGTGGTAGTGATGTCAAAATGTAACACACTTGTTTTTTCATTTTTTTCCCTCTGCAATGCAATGTTTTTGCACAACTATCTACAATGCATATCGACACATTCGGTTGACCAAATGCACTATATAAGATTGTCAAGACTGAAGCTTGCGCCAAGTTTAACATTATGTCATTTTGAGGTGCATCAACATAGGGTGCCATTTATGTCAAATTAATATCTGCGGACATTATAACATGAAAAACTAACTTTCTCTGTCAATACACTGTCTTCAGGTAAACACAGTGGCAAGCCGCCATCAAAGAAGAGATTTCGTACAGACCAGGAGAGAGTACACAAGGAGCGAGAGAGGAGAAATGCCAACAACCAGAGAGAGAGGTAATGGACGACTGGCACATCTGTAATGAGTCTTTAATTGGTTCGTTCCGATAATAATATGTACACTAGGTTAAGAGTGCTACAAATGTACTAGAATGAGCAAAGAGCAATTTATTCGATTTACATCTGCACAATGCAAACGTCACAAGATGAGGGTGTATATACAACAGTGCTATCATCACATTACTGTAATCAGAGAGTATCAGACGGTTAGGGCAGACTCTGATCATGTGCCAAAGTCCAGAGCATTGGTTGCATAATCCCCAGACGACGGGTTTATTCCATTTGCCAGTAAATCACTTTAGAAGACAAGGGTATATACAACCTCAATTTGCCAGTAAATCACTTTAGAAGACAAGGGTATATACAACCTCAATTTGCCAGTAAATCACTTTAGAAGACAAGGGTATATACAACCTCAATTTGCTCACCGCTTAAAACACACTCTGCTCCTACATATTAGGTGATATATATACTAGCAGGGGTTTTGCCATTGTAATGTACGTAATAGACTCCTGCCTGCCAAGTTGCTCTGGTAGCTCAGTGGTAGAGCACTCTGTCTAGAAAATGGTGTTGTGGGGGTTGTGGGGTCGAGTCCCACCCGGGGAAACTGTTTTTAAAAAGTCAGGGAAACTGTTTTTTAAAAAGCACTGTCCTGGGACCAACAGCTCCCGAGGGTTCCAGGGAGGCAGGGGGCGGGGCCACCCGCTGGATTGATTGCTTTGCATTTACACCCTGTGTTTTCTCTCTCTTTTTGTCTGTCAGGATTCGTGTACGAGATATCAACGAGGCTTTCAAAGAGCTGGGGGAGATATGTCACGAGTACCTGCAGTGTGAGAAGGCACAGACCAAACTGATGATACTGCACCAGGCCGTGGCTGTCATTGGGAACCTGGAGAGTCAAGTCAAAGGTACAATGACTGTGTGTTTAGGGATGAGAAAAGTAACCTAGAGAGAGATTTTCGCATATTTCATGTCTTAGAAGTGGACACAATTATGTAAGAGTATAATGGGAAAAGTTTAGAGGTAGATATCTTGCAAATTCGTAGGCAGGAACTGTCTCGAAGTTCGCATGAAATTTTGCTGCTTTATGGACAGTGATTACTTACTGCGGGGTAAGCATTTTACACCATATGCATTTCAGCAGGGTTTCATGTTTGTTTGGGCAGTGTAGTTAGGTCTTACGTTACGTGTGTGTTCAATGATGTTGCCCCACAGACCGAAACCTGAACCCAAAGGCTGCATGTCTGAAGAAGAGGGACGAAGAGAAGACCTTCCAGGCCAACTGTGGCCCCTCCCCTCTCCACCCTCCCGAACACATCCCCTCGCTCTCCCCCACCTCTCTTCACCCTCACCCCTCCCTCCCTCTCACACCCACCTCCAAGACACCCTCCACACCCTCCTTTCCCTCTCCTCCTCTCCCTCCCGCCACCGCCATCTCTTCTACCCCCATCGATATCATGACCCCGGGGGTCATAAATTCCTCCGGGTGCGGCAGCGGAGGTCCCTTCCAGTTCCCCCAGCAAGTCATCCCCCACCACATTCAGTCTTGTCATCAACAACTTCCCTTTCAGACTTACCCGTCCCCTCCACCCCTGGCACCGGGGGATAAAATCCCTCGTTCAAACGAACACGACCCTCTGATGAAGCGTCGCAGTAACAGCGGCGCCGGCACGGTCAGCCCCACCATCCAGAAGACCGTCAAGGGACGCTGTAGCTCGGGAAGTAGCATCGCTTCGTCAAAGGCAGAGGCGAAATCAAACAACTGAGCGGAGACGAACTTAGACCGATTTTTTTTTTACATCCGAATGAGCGGGCACTACTGATTTCTTTATCCTACAAACAGCAATACGTGTCTAGGGGCACAGGGACTTTCCATTGTCGGTGTGTGTGTGTGTGTGTGTGTTGAAAAATCTACAGACCGTGTCATTGTTTGTGCATGTTACATTTTTATGGCTAAGTCTTGTCTTTTTTAGTCCTTTTTCATATTTTGTTTGTCACTTTTCTGATTTTTCACGTGGTGGCAATGAATATGGTGTACTGCGTTTGATCAAACTGCAAGAAATGTGCTGGGCACCAGCTTAGGGATATAGAGTGCACTTTGCCGATCAACTCTGTTTTTTTAATACGTATTCTGTAATTCGATCATCATTGCATATTCTTGACATTGTGTACGCATTGTTCATGTTCTGTACATTCAAAATTTCACATTGGTGTGCAAATTTTTGTGTCTCGAAATCGTAAAAAATGTGATGCTAGAAATACGTATTATCAGACAAAGCTCAGTGCATAGTGTCTTCCCCGTTGCTTCCATTATCTTGATTTCTCTGCCATAAAACTTTGGTGCACAGAAGGTTTATGTTGCAATCTTGAATGCCACGGGCACCCAGTAAAGGACACACTGTGTCTGTGGCTATATAGTTAATTGGTACAGTGTAACCGAAAAGAATCAATGAAGTAGTGCACATAATGTTGCTATATAATATTATCATTAGCCATGTGGTGCAAAAGTGGGAAAACAATAATACATCATGAGAACTGTTCTAGTGATGGGTGTCGTCTCAGCTCTTCTTGTAGTGGTCCGGGGGCCTGTGAGTCCAGTTGTACCAGTCCTTGTGGCTCGTCGATGATTCCGTGGTCCAGGGGTCTGTACGTGTCTCTATGAGTCCAGTTGTACCACCAGTCCTTGAGGAGATCATTAGAGCTGTCAACCCTTCCTGGTGATGGTATAGAGAGTGCGAGATACGTTCACATGAATGTGGAGTTCGGAGATAACCTGGTTCTGTACGTCGAAGGTCGCTCCGCGTCCGCGGGTGTGCCTGGACCCGGGTAGATGGCACAAGTAATAAAGGTGGATGGAGCTCGCACACGGGCCCGCCGCCACGTACGCGCGCGCGTGTATTTATCCACGGCTCCCGCGCGCGCTCCGCACGCGCATGCGCGTTAGAGATGTAGTGGTGCAAAATGATAGATTCGCCCTAATGTACATCACTGTGCTGTTATTTCATGTGGCCAATAACAGTCCTGGAGCCAGACTGTCTTGTCCCATTTCTGTTCAACTAGACTACTCTCCCACAGCCGTTCGTGCTTCCGGTACAAGTCCAGCGCAGCTGTGGCGTCCTCCAAGGAATTGTGGCAACCGGCTTGAATCTCTCTGCCCAGCAGACGACGTGATAACTTCTTGAGCGAAGGGTTCTGATTGAATTCGAGCCCTGCCAAAGTTCTTAGCGGTTTGAAAAACACTGTATCTCTCACGCGATCTTTGGGCCAAGTGATTCCTATTACCGTGAGGTCGTGCGTCAAGTCGTGACCAATCAGAATCTTCCCCTCGAGAATTTTCCGGATTTCTGCCACGGCTTTGTCGTGGGGGACCGCCCACTTCATGTGCCATGGCCGGATACCGCTCCACTTTGTCCTGTAGTGGATTATGGGTCTTGACGGCCGAACATACGCGTGGAATAGCTTCTCTCCGTTATAGGAGAGTATACTGCACTGGGCGAGGGCAGAGCCGGTGCATGTGCCCACCATTTCACAGTCGAGTGCCACCAGTTCTCCCGAGAGAGGGTTGGTTGAACCTAGACATGGGATTGGTAGAGGCACGTGATCCACACGTGGCTCGGTGGTCGAAGGCGGCTGGTCGTTGCTCGTTGGCGACGAGGTCGAGTCCGTATCGTCGCTGCTCGAAACAAACTGCTCCTTTTTAGTCAGTTTCAGCTTTTTCCATGTTTTTCGTCGTTTTCGTGCACTCTTGCTTAGTTTACCTCTACCTTTGACATGCTTTAAGACCCACTCGATGAACGAGAGAAATTCTGCGTCCGTGCGAGCATCAGTAACTGTCGTCTTCATAGTTTCGGTGCAGTAACTAAGTGTCGGAAAACAACGTGATGTGTGATTTCTATATAGCGCACACCTGACCTTTGGCACAGGGCGTGGCTTATTATCACCTTTGAACTCTGCCAGAAATGGACACATGGGCTGCCGAGCTCGAGCATCGTTTGGAGGCGTTGGAAATCGACGCTTCGCTCCACACGCCGGCTCAAGATGAAGAAAATAGCGATGAAGAACAACCAAAAGGTAATAAAATGTGTTATACCCGGACACTAATTACACGCGTGCGGTAGTGGCATACAACTACCGCATGCGTGTAATGGTCTGTTTTTGCTTCTCAGCTTAGCGTATATTATCATGTCATATAGTTGTGCAGGCTACTGAAGTAGTGGCGAGATATGAAGAGGCTCTGAGACGTCTGGCTGGCGATGTTGACCGTCTTCCAGTTATACTTGAGGATGAATCACAGGTGTATATATGTATAATCACTACCAAGGAAATGTATTAGGGTAATTAGCAAGACATTATTGTGGGGAATAAGTGTTCGTTGAGCGTCATCCTCGTGATATAAAACCTTTTTAAGATTGCTCTTGAATCTGACAAAAATTATCCCTCAATGTAATGTATGTACTGAAAGCTGGGTACACGGGAACCTACTGTATTCTTCCTATAATATATGCTTGACTGCCTCCATCGTATACTCTCGGAACCATGGTTCATGGTTTATATATAGTACACCTGAAAGTTGGATTTACGGCGTGGTCATTGTACACAAATGCTTCATTCCTTTTACTCTAGAAACCAGGAGCGAAGGAGACTGTCTGTCGACTTGTTCTCACCCTGTCGGCCCATCTGGGGAAGCATTACTGGACCTCACCTTCCTCCAGACTTCAGGCCAGAGGTAAGCACACTGCCACTCTATATAGCCATGTAGCCCCCTACATAATACGGTGGCTCCAAGTTTGTCACGCCGAGGGTTGGCATTTCACTGCTTTCAAAGGGGTGTGGCAATGCTGGCAAACGTTTCTGGCTCATGTACAACAGCGTACGTATAATGAAAAAACGTCCCCGTTTTTTCATTTCGTCCAATGAAAAACGGGAGCGTCTCTGGGTTAAGAGTCCAGCCCATGACACTCGGCTCTCTAGGCAGAGTGCTATATATTCCTACTCTAATGATATACAACAAATAGGCAACAGCTTGAAAAGTTTTGATTGGCATTTTTTTTTCTTTAGGTGTATTGGATAGAGTTATAGCTGCTTGCGGCTGTAGCTCCACCCTCGAGCTGCTGATTGGTCGACCTGAATCACATGATACCCCACACGACAGTCACATGACCTCTCCGTATGTTTCCATGGCTACAAAAGCGGAAGAAACGGCAGAATCGAGGGGCCCCAACAGCATAGCCTCTATAGACAACGAGGCCGTGGGAAGGGAGAGGGAGAAAGATGGTGGGAGAGATAATAATATGGTGTTCCGTGGCGGAGTGATAAAGAGTCTGTTATTGCTGCTTCGTTCAAGACTGACGGCAGAGTCGTGGAAGAAACAGCCGACTGCAAAACATGCACTCATATGGACACTCAGACAACTAAAGGCAAGGGAATTATACATACATGTAAAAAACATGTTTATGAGCATACTAGCTAAAAGAATAATATGAGAGGAAAAGAAAGACCTTAACTCCCTACCCAAATGATAGACTCATAGAAAAATATAAAAACTCTGAAACTTAGCAGTACACGATGCTATGCCTTTTGCTATGCCTTTGCCTCGCGGCCTCGTTGATGTTTGGGTGTGTCTAACTCTTGCGCAGTCACATTTGCGTTGCTCTCTCCAGCTCTACTTCATGACAGTACTTTCCACCCTTACATTCAATGGTTATAATAAGGAGCCCAGCTATAGTCAAGGTATTGTTTCATACTCTTTCCTCCTTCTCTCTCCCTCTAGCACCCTCATCTCTCTCCCCACATAAACAGTTTTCTCCCTCCTCTGCTGATGTTAGTTGACGACCATGAGGTGAGATTTGAGCATTTCTTCTTACTTACTAGAGTCTGATTTCAGTATTGTGTTCGACAGCTCCAACATTGAATTCATTATTATACTAGTGAAGGGAGGCATGAATAATATATAAAGCCTGGTTTGCATTACGTCGCTTAATTCAGCAACCTAATGCTACGTATGTATGTCGCAGCAGCTGTCGTACATTGGTTTCAAGTCTGGCTGGTTTTGACATGTTACATGTCGCAGGAGCGATAATAATAGTCCATGTCGTGCAAGTTTGCATTGTGTTGTACATGTATAAAATACCAAAAGAAAAAAGATGGGAGCTCTGGACAGCTGTTTCGGGCTTGTTGGCCCTCATCAGCAGAGCATACCACAACTTCTCTCTCTGGCATCACGAGTTTATAAAGGCTGCCATGAGCGCAGTACTTGTGGTTTTGCATCTCATTACTGACTCCTGTTGATGTTTTGTAAAACTTATTTCCCCGCAGAGCTATCACAAGACGCTCGGTCTGTCAGGACTCACCCATCTCATATCTAACACTGTGCGTTTTGCGTGAACAATGAGACTTATGTATATACATACTTAGTGTATCAGTGTGCATTTTGCAGGAACAATAAGACTTACATACTTAGTGTATCAGTGTGCGTTTTGCAGGAACAATAAGACTTATATACTTAGTGAATCAGTGTGCGTTTTGCAGGAACAATAAGACTTATATACTTAGTGTATCAGTGTGCGTTTTGCAGGAACAATAAGACTTATATACTTAGTGTATCAGTGTGCATTTTGCAGGAACAATAAGACTTATATACTTAGTGTATCAGTGTGCGTTTTGCAGGAACAATAAGACTTACATACTTAGTGAATCAGTGTGCGTTTTGCAGGAACAATAAGACTTATATACTTAGTGAATCAGTGTGCGTTTTGCAGGAACAATAAGACTTATAACTAAATGCTAATATTAAGCCTGCCCAGTAATGAATGATACTGTTACTGTATGTGTCTGTCTGTAGGATCCAACTGAACTGAGGTGGTATGGCAGAGCTGATGTGATCTATGAGGTGCTTACATCTTGTGTGCTCGAAAACCTCCTAACATTAAAGTTTGCCGCGAAGACCAGCTAACGCCTGCTGTACACACTATGTGGTTGGATCACTTATGCTTTGTAGTGTTTGGCACAGGAAAATGGGTTGGCTTGCATTATTGTCTCATATGATGTCGCATGACTTCATGTGATTGCCACATGACCTCACACAAACTCTAGCACAGATAAATAGTTCTTATTGTCTCTGATGATGTCACGATTGGCTCACAAGACTCTTTCTAATTGTCACATGACCTCACCTGTTTGTCACATGATCTCCCACAGGCCATCAAGTCCATGTTGTACATGAGAGAAGAAGCCATCATACACTCACTCCATTCCTGTCTCATCATCCTCCTACCTGTTATTGAGGGACCTCCCACTACAACCGTCACCATGCCAACAAAGGTATTGTCGAGTGACGCGAGCCTACCTAGTAATGAATGGACACTGTTGATAGCTACACCCTTAGAAACCGCTGCATGTTAAATTTTTGTTAAATTTTTGCGTTTGAGACAGTTGTATGTAGCTAAGTTGTAAAAGGCAGCCTGGGGTTACTGATAACATTCACTCCCAAAAGACGATACTATTCTACGATTCACTGAGCTTTTTTTTGTTGCAGCCGACAAGAACTGATGAAGTTTTTCGAATTCTGCTCAACAACATTGACATGGAATCTAAGATTACCCTGAGGAAGGTGCGTGCATATATAGCTACACAAGGTTCCAGCGGAGAAAACAACATTGATAGCCATTCACCGATTATTTGCGGAGGGGAGTTTCAGAAAGCCACGACCATGTTGAGGATCAACCTAAGACCTCCTGAAAAATCTTGTCTTCTCTCCCTGCAAAACTAAAACTCACTGATGGCTCATATATCACTAAGTACGGTAGTACTTAGTGATATAGGGATTGGCATGGTACCTAGGATCATAGATGTATGGGGCTATGATAGGGAGTTTTGTTCATCTTCTCCTTCTCCTTCTTCTTCTTCTTCTTCTTCTTCAGATTCAACACCCATAACTCATATATACGAACATCTTAGCTAAAGTGTTTTGTGTGGGGACTTTTGTAGAGTTAGACAAGAATGGTATGAAGTTTGCATTTGCTACAATGAATGTGAGGTCCATACTTGCAAAATTGCCAGATATTAAAACAGATAACAACCTCCGATGTGCCGGCATACTGTGCTTTTGTGAGACTTGGCTAAATGAATCTCAGACAGGGAATTTTGTTGTTTATGAGGGCGTTTTTATGCAGGCATATGTTGGTTATGTGGGCAGTTACATTGACCTTCTTGGGATCTACACAGCCAGACACATAAAGGTATACAGTGGAACCCCTGTCATCTGGACACCAATGGGACAGAAGAAAGTGTCCATATTAGTGAGGTGTCCTTATTTCAGGGGTTAAATTGCATGCAAGAACCGTTCTTGGGGAAGGAAAAGGTTTCCTTATTAGAGAGGTGTCCTCATTTCAAGGGTGTCCTTAGTGAGGGGTTCCACTGTAATATGCATGTCACATTCACCTGCAGTAGTGCTATCTATTATAGGTCCACTGCTAACTAATATTCCCATATATAGCAGTTTCTGAGAGTTGTTGTTGAGTGTTTGGAGTATCCCGACTACTGTGGAGAGGAGACCAGAATGCAGACTCTGAAAGCTCTTATGATGCTAATGAAACATATCTGGCCAAGGTATATACATACCGACAGACAGACAGACAGACAGACAGACAGACAGGCACACAGACCAAGTACTATAACCCTCGTGCACATGCGTGCCACAGGTTACAAGTGTATAATTATACATAAATGCTACATATGCGCGGTCATTTGTTCCACCAAGGGTTTGAAGTTCGACACTTTTTCATTATGACATTGACGAGCTCTATTTCTATTGTGATCAGTCTACAGCAGCAGTGACAACTAAAATACTACAGTTCAACTAAACGATCTACCACTAAGTACAAGAGATGCATTCCTCCCCTTCCTCGGAATACACTTTGACAGCCAAACCCGGTCCAAAATCGCAGCATTCTTCTCCAGACCAAACTACATATCCATTGTCACTGCAACCATCCGTAAAATGACAGATTAGCAGCATGTCGTCACCTGTGTTGCAATAAACCTTTTTGAAGTCAAAGGATAACATGCACAATAATTATTCAGATACCTTGCTGAGCTATAGCCGTTTTCAACACCTGGCTTCCAGGTTTTTCGAGCATTCCCTGAGTTTTTCCAAAACGTCGAAGAGTGTTTCCTCCAGTACTTCCTGGTCGTCCAACAGGTAGTCCCTGGGGTCTTCCCCGAGGCTTGCAGCTGGCCATGAGGTGTAGCAGAGGGCCACCTCCAGGCAACACAGGAAGACAACCAGAGTGACAGCTGTGAATATCTTCATTTTCTCCTCTCACAGTCAAATTAGTCTGCTAGCTCTTCAACTCACGCTACCTCTTTTATAGCTTCAACTATATGCATGGAGCGGTAGCTTCTTTTATAATTATTCTCTTTCTCAACAATAATGCTATCGAGGTAAACATGTCTTTGTCGCTAATATGCTGCACCTTGCTTTGATCACGAAGTAGATGATCCACAATTTTGGCACCAGTCATCCTTGTGTTTTTAAAAGAGCTTTAAAAGGAGCCTTTGTGTTGATGGTTAGCGGGAAACGCCTTTCTAGGGAGCAACCTTTCCCAAACTTAAAGTGTGAGGAAAACATTTTCCTTGTGTTTCAAGGACCGTGTATCAAAATCATCCTCTGGAATATTCCTCTTCGTGGTATGTGGCAGTATAATAATTATTATAAGGGCTAAATCTACTAAAACAAAACTCCCTATTGCACTGTGCCCCTAGTGTTTGTTCTATCTTTAGTAAAAAAATTTAGCCTTCCACATTTCCTTTAATTTCCAGGGTTCCCTGCCATAAAAGTGAGATAATAAAAATTCTCTTGAAACTCGTGTCAGATCTTTGCCCTCAAGAAGACTTGATTCCCAGCAAGCCAGGTATGCAAATTTTTGTTTGACTCTCCAGTTTCCAACTTTTGTGTGTTGTTATTTAGAGATCCTCCGACAGCTGGAGTTGGTGTCTGAATGTTTGTCAACACTGCAGCTCTGCTGTGACAACATGGAGGTTTGTGTGTTTTTTCCTAAGTTTTTGCGCATGTAGTAGCAATAATACCCAGCTAGGTTAGCTGCTGATGTTATAATTATGCTTAAGCTTGTTGTGTGCAGACTCTAAACGATAGCATCTCCCTCTAAAATTTATTTTTGACCACTGAAAAAGCACTGTAAAGAAAGAATAACTTCTACAGCTCGGTAAAATAGATTGCATATCCCGATCTACACATAAGGTCACCTCCCACAATAGTTACTGGTCCTCAAATTCACCAACATAACACAGTGGTGGACTTTGTCCAAACTCTGGTTACTCAACCTGTGAAAAATGCCTCATTATACCTCACAGGATGTTTATAGGTCACTGCAGAGAGACTGTGGAGGCCACAGGGGACTGCAGTTCTGTCTTGAGACCAGTCTCAAGAATATGGAATGTAGACAGTAATAGAAATTCTTTTCATTTTTGCACACTCACAATCATTTGCACATGTGCGGTCATGTTCAGATTATGTTCTGCTCTGATAATCAGGCATCAAAACTAGTCTACATCAATGTTCTAATGATCTCTTCTAAGAACTGGCTACAAAAAAACACTAGAAGATTTGCTACAGAATTATAATTATCTTGATTCCACAGTCATTATTATTTCATCCTTGCGCTGCCAGGTGCTCTCTCAATTGGGCGGTTACAGTCCTGGCACAGCTCTCCAATAAATACTTTGGGTCATGAATCTCCCCCCAAAAAGGGACATTCAGCAGCACTGATAAAGCTAAGAGTGGATTGTCCCCACATTCCACAGGGAAGCAAGATAGTATGAAGTCCTCTGCAAGGAAGAACGTCTGTTAGTGAAGGAGACAACTAAACATGACATATCTGAACAGTATAATTATATACTGGCTTTGGTAACTCTCGGCGCGCATGCAACGAGACAACAAAACAGTGATACCAACGGGCTAATCGCTACACCGGCTTCATTTAAAAAAGGCTACTGCGTTCAAAAGTTATGGCGTGAAAAGCAAGTCAACAAGCCAACACTTGCACAGGCTTACCTCGACTGCTCCGTATATCTTGAAGGCACTAGAAGTCACAACTATGGGCATGTATCGACTCCTGCATGCTATCTACTACTGTAGCTAGCCTGTGTCAGACTCTCCGCGAGATGCAAGCTGCAGATACCACGAGTAAAAGCATAAAAAGCCTAGCCCAGCCCATCAATTTGTGATACCGCGCATGCGCAGTTCGCCGAGGGTTTGAACTCTTCCACCCACTGCTCCTCGCAGTTGGCCATGATGGGTAACAGAGGGTCACGCAGTATAGAAGGACAACCAGAGTGACAGCTGTTAATGTGACTATATTATAGTATGGTGACTTCTGCGAAAGGCCAATATCAAAGAACAATAGCGCATGTGCTTACGTTTTCACGCGGGATTAGTAGGCCTATATACGCGCTCGCGCGATCGTTTGAGGGGGCGGGGCTAAAATTACGATCAGCAGCAACCCCAACCATGGAGAGTTGCTTGTCAGTACAGCACCTTGAGTAGCGTTTTGCGAGTGATCCGACAGGGAAACACGGTGTGGTTCCACTGTAGAGGTACGTTCATGTATGATCTATCATCTAAGATACACGTCGGGCGTTTGAGAGAGGACTCCGACGGAGGGCGTGGAAGCTGTGTAGCTATCTATCTACACTCGTTGTAATATGCAGAGAGAAGGCAGATTGTTGTGCTATAAGTAAGGTCCGTGGAGGGATAAATCCGAATGAAGCGGAGTATATCGCTGTGTACGGGCGTTTGTTGTGCCCATGATGTTTGTTATTTCGCTATTCCCCCCCTGCGTTTATTATACGGTATATTGGTGTGTAGTTGCCCACAGGCAGATATACATCGCTAGCCAAAGAGCAAACACCCGGCTGGCTTACATAGCTGAATGGATTGTCATTGTTCTTTCGATTTCTCGGCAACTAAGGAAGGATGGTTGTCATTTCTAGTCCTTATGAAAGATAGTTGTCATTGTCATTTCTAGTCCTTATGAAAGATAGTTGTCATTGTCATTTCTAGTCCTTATGAAAGATAGTTGTCATTTCTAGTCCTTATGAAAGATAGTTGTCATTGTCATTTCTAGTCCTTATGAAAGATAGTTGTCATTGTCATTTCTAGTCCTTATGAAAGATAGTTGTCATTGTCATTTCTAGTCCTTATGAAAGGGTACATTGGAGTAAACACTGTCGATAGTTGTGTGTACACATATCTCCTGCCACATGTGCAATTGCTGAGCGTGTAATGCATTTTCCAATGTGTCCATAATTCGGGAAAGAAAATCATGAATGATGATGAGCTAAAATGACCTTATTATCAAGATATCTTCTTTCCAGAAGCAGACATTTGTGCGTGCATTTCCCCGTAACAGCACACATTCTGTCTGATTACTTGGTTGTGCTGACTAGACAGGTATCATTATACCACATATATTACGTGTACGTACGTACATATGTATTGTAGAGATTCAACTACAAGTATGGGTTGTATACAGATATATGGGCATGTGCCTCTGCCATTGAATTCATACTATCAACACACATGCAATGTTGTGTAACATGCACAAAAATGTACCTGCATAGCGTGGTGTACCCACAAGCCAATATTAAAACAGAACAGTGACAAAAACATAGTTGTGTATCCAGCGTGCATGTTATTGTGCCAGGTTAGGCTAATAGAACAGTGTTGTGGTTCCTACCCAGCTAGAATAACAGACCTTCTTTCATACCCAGTTGTGTGTGATACTTTCATACCCAGGTGTGTGTGTGTGTGTGTGTGTGTGTGGGTGTGTGGGTGTGTGTTTATGCGCTTTATAGAGCAAAGAGGAAGAAGACTTTTATCACAATCAAGGAAGCGTTATTTTTTGTGTGGGTGACCTTAGAGCTACTGGCATTAGGGCATTCAGGGAGTTAGTACTTACTGTATGTGGTGGTGGCGGGTCAAAACGTCAGCTGATATGCAAGGCAGCTCCACTTCAGTGAATAAGAGATATATACCTAATATATAGATACATCTAAAGTGCCCTGCATATGTGTAATTAAGGCATCACTTATTCAGAGGATCTTAAAGGGAATGTGTCAGTACATTTTCAGTGAATGAGCTGTGGGGAGTACATGACTCTAAACGATAGCATCTCCCTCTAAAGTTTCGTATATTTTTGAGCTCTGAAAAAGGACTGGACTGGCTGGAAGCAAGTGGCAACGGGCACGCATGAAAGGCAAGCTAGCTTGTTCAAAATGAGGGGAAAGAGGGAAATTGTCCTGCCTGTTGTCAAGTGCTAATTACTAGATAACAATTTGAGTGTAAACGTAAACTTAGGGGAGGGTTGTAAGCTGTTTGGTCAACATGTCATGTATAGTGTCCTGATTGGTAATGTGTCCTAATTGCTGTCAAGTACAGGTAAGTGATTGACGTAAACACAGTTGACTGAGGCCACCAAAAATCTCCCTCCCACCGTGAATTTGTCCTGCCTGCGACCACCTATGGGTACTTGACGTAAACGGGAGGGTTGTAAGCTCTTTGGTCAACATGTCATGTAGTGTCCTGATTGGTAATGTGTCCTAATTGCTGTCAAGTACAGGTAAGTGATTGACGTAAACATAAACTTAGGGGAGGGTTGGTCAACAAAGTCAGTAGTGTCCTGATTAGTAATGTGCTGTCAAGTACAGGTAAGTAATTGACGTAAACATAAAGTTAGGGGAGGGTTGGTCAGTAGTGTCCTGATTAGTAATGTGTCCCAAGTACTAAGCAGCAAAGAATGTAACATAAACTTAGGGGAGGGTTGGTCAACAAAGACAGTAGTGTCCTGATTAAATGTGCATTTTTTCTGCTCCTATAGAAATGTATGGGACCCGAACTTATGATGGTAATATTAATGAGGCATGATAACAATGGCTAAAACCTGTTCCTAGGCATAGTAGAATTCAACCCATGAAGTTTGAAAAATGTGGTTGGGTACATATATACCTCCTTAAAGGGATGAAAACACGCAATCCTGAATATATACAGTAGGAGGGTGCATAGAGGTCCCTATATAGGCTTACAAACCAACATAATACTCGATGCTTTGTTCCCAGGCTCCCGCTGGATTATTATACTCTTTATCGTTCAGAGTATCCATTATGAGATGTACTACTGTATTTCCTCCACCTGTCAAATTTTTGCTCCTCTACCAGACTCCCAGCACACAATAGGTGGATTCACATTTAAACACCATTTCCCCCAATAAGTATATTGCCTGGGATGGGGTAAAGGGTAAAGTCAATTGCATTCATCGTTCGTGTATCCCAGGTTATTTTGGGTAACTTGTGAACAAAACAAAATGCCTTGCTACATGATAGTAAGAACTGCTCTTGTGCAATTGCTTATACCGATTTATATAATATTGTATATACTGCAACCATAAGCAACCTATATAGATATTGAATGTGTACATTGAAGTGTAAAGGAAATATACCCATCCTTTGAACACACATGTACATTACTCGTTACTATAATTATTATTATTATTGCAAACAGTGTGAGATTATGACAAAGCGAGATGTAAATATACAACTGTGCTACATACGCTGCCCCCCCACGTAGCTACATTAGCCCCCGAATGAATGCACATAAAGCGTGCAAACATCATCAGACATCTCGCAATGTACAACATAGTGAAACCATTCACTTAATTGTCTCGTGTTACACTGTATGTTGAAATGTGCACTGTCACCTTAGTATAGTGGTGTCCAGCGTATGTATGTATGTTTGTATAATTATGTTGCAGTGCCCAGACAGGACAGCATGAGCCCTGTAAGGGCGAATGCTGTCCTGTCTGGGTATACTGCAACAGATTTGTTGGATATCCCTAGGCAAACGACATGTATGAACCACGTAGGAATTGTATAGGCTGATAAAATCCCCCAGTACCTACCTAGCTTCAGTTGCCTAGGGATATCCAACAAGTATGTATGTATAATATGTGTAATAAGTAACTCAGTATCAACTTACTGTTCAGTCGTTGATCCATGTATACTGACCTTTTAATCCATTGCCTAACCCTCGTTTCTTTCTGTCTCTCCATTATTGTCTCATATGATGTCGCATGACTTCATGTGATTGTCACATGACCTCACCTGATTGTCACATGAACTCTAGCCTTTCCCTAGCAACTCATCCTACGTTCATGCCTATCATTCTCTTCCCTTCGTCCCTTCACCTCTCTTTCCTCCTCTCTCCTCTTATACCTAGACTCTCCTAACCCTCTTTATCATTGTTTTAACCCTTTCCCCACTGCCCACTCTCCTCTCTTCTCTTATACCTAGCCTCTCCTAACCCTCTTTATCATTGTTTTAACCCTTTCCCCACTGCCCACTCTCCTCTCTCCTCTTATACCTAGCCTCTCCTAACCGGCTTTATCATTGTTTTAACCCTTTCCCCACTCCCCACTACCCACTCTCCTCTCTCCTCTTATACCTAGACTCTCTTTATCATTGTTTTAACCCTTTCCTCACTGCCCACTCTGCTCTATCCTCCCTTTACACAGCTAAATAAGAGAAATAATGGCGGAAAATCAGCAGAATGGACGTGACTCTTCGCCCAATGACGTCGCCAAGCAGAACATGCACAAGGTCCGCGATGCAGTGAAGAGTATCCAAACGCGAGAGTCAGTGCTCACTTCCCCCGTACCGAAACCACGACGATTCTCCCCCGCATCCTCCCCAACGCTATCTACATATAAAATCCCCTCCCCGGTCCCCGAGAGGGTTAAATTGGAGGGGTCCACAGTGACCCCCCCATCCAGTCCAATGAGACGGAGATCTGAGGGGTTTAAGAACGGTGTGGGGGACAGTCGCCCGAAGCCGCCCATCCGGAAACGCCGAAAGAAATTTGCAACCGATGACAACGATGTGGTGGGCACTAATAGGAACTCTGGAGAAGTGGGCGTTAATAGGTACTCTATGGATCCCTCTGACTACGTGAATCTTAGTTTCTCTGAGGGAAACATGGATTTAGCAGGAGAAGGAGAGAAGAAAGATGGAGAGACGGTGACCAAAGGGGCCACACTGCAAAGCCAACAAAAAGTTGCGGCGGAAGGGGGAGAGGGAGGAAGAGAAGGGAGGGAAGGAGGTGCTGCGGGCGAAAACAGCGAGAGAGGGAGATTTGAATCGTTTGTGGTGGTTGCTGTTGAGGAGGGAGCGAGAGCTTGCAATGTAGCATCTCCCGATATTGTAAGTGTCCCCGAAGAAGGAGAATATGGGGAGAGTGACGGAAAACAGCGAGCGTCATCTGATCCTTCGAGCGCCAATTGCGGGACTGCCTCCCCCGATGATGATGTTGTCCTCAGTCCCATAACGACGGGGACTTCCCCCTCAGACTCCCAATCACCTGTCGCCACGGAGACTGTTGCCGAGGGCGATGTCTCCACCCGACAACCAGTACCGCCACAGCAACAGACGAGATTCGGACTAGGTGGCAGTTTCTCCGTTCACCAATCGGGGAAGAAGAAGCCGCCTCCTCTTCCTGCACCCTACCAGTCTCGCCCTCCCCCTGTTCCCACCAAACTCCGCTCAGTGCGACGACAGCACACTGAACCCGCCACCGCCACGGATACCGTCGCTGATGGTAACGGTAGCAGACCCATTGCCACGGCAACCACCAACGATCACGGAATTCCAACGGCGGTCACCACGGCGCCGACCCCTACTGACACAGGAGCGGCGATTATGCACAGACAGTTGTCTCTGGGGAGTGGTCTCCAACCTCCACGAGCCCCACCCCCTCGTCCTCCGTCCCCTCAGCGGCTCCGCAAGTCTTCCCCGAATCTCTCCGTCGGTGCCGTGGAGAGACAGGGACTGTCCCCCCCGGCCTCCATCAGGGAGGGAGCAGAGTCCCCGGGGACCAGTTCTGGGGGGTCCGGCGTGGTGAGTCCGCTGACCCCCGGGAACTCAGTAGAAGTACGGGTCTTGACGAGTCGCCCGGATACCATGCCGAAACACCTTAGCTCCGGTTCCTCGGACAGTCTGGAGTTGAGCGAGTCCATCAGCAGTGAGTTAACACCTCTCAATAAGAGACACCTTGGAACATCTAAAGTGTCCTGCTAAGTGGGAGTATACTGTGCCATAGCACAGTGGTTTGAGGTTTGCCTTGTGTTGTGTTGTGTTTTAGATTCGAACCCCTACCGGCTGAGTTGCCCTGGTAGCTCAGATGGTAGAGCACTCGCCTAGACTGCAGAGTGTCGTGGGTTCGAATCCCACCTACAGCTCAGCTCTTTTATCCTTGGAAAAAAGAGCTTTCCTGTGTGTAGTTGGTTTGTTCGTTGTGCCTTTGCCTTTCTACCTCGTAGTTTTCACACTGCATATGTGTAACTATTCAAAAGCATCACTTATTCAGCAGATCTTAAAGGGAATGTGCCAGTACATATATAAGGCCTAAATTTAGAAATGGGACCCAGTGAATGAGGGTTTACAACAATTTCAAAATTTAGCCCTTATATAGTGCCACATTCCCTTTATTAACGATGCACTAGCGTTTCAATGTGGGGTAGAACTTGTTATAGCATCCTTGGTGCCCTGTTTATACCATTATATACAGTATGTGATGTGTATCTATCAGTGCATACTGTAGTAGACACTCCAGAGTCCTTTGGGAGCAACTTGTTTATCTGGAAAGCATATTTGGGAGAGTGCGCTCTTTTCAGAAAGTTCTGGCTTTGTAGCAAAGTTTTCCCCCAACTAATCCACAACTTCGCAGTTCACATACGGCTATTGGAGAGTGTACTGTCAGTAGCTCCCTGCTCTAGTATCTTATAACGAAGATGTGTTGTTCCGGAAGTTTCTAAGTTTCAGAGAGGTTTATTGATTGTTCGTGGGAGTCATGGCTAGATCGTGTGGTGTGTTAGAAAGCCCGCAGGTTGCTCAGTTGTTTGAAAAGTTGATTCAAGAACTGATGGAGTTTGCTCAGGAAGGTCATAATAGCTGTCACTATAGTGTGTGGGATTTTGGTACAAGCTGTACATGCCTGTGTGATTATTGACATACGCCTGCTCCCACATACTTTTAATTGATGTCTCAACAACTTGGTAGCGAGGTAGAAAGGCAAGGCAAGGCAAGGCAAACAAGTCAACTACACCCAGGACAGCTCTTTCTTTTCAAAGAAAAGAAGAAGAGTTGCCCTGGGTGGGATTCGAACCCACGACACTCTGCCACACCTTAGGTCTGTTTGTGTATAGCTATATATGAATCATACTTACAATGGGTTATATAAAGTGAAACTAGATACTAAATGTAGCACCTGTAGATATTCAAACTGCCAAATTTGCTCGTTTTAACGTACCATTTCTCTCTCCTACTTCACAGATCGCCACAGTACAATAGGCGTTTCAAGGCTGAAGCCTAAGGTTCGGAGCCTGCCCAGCGGTAAACCACATTTGAAGGGGACACGCCCACTTTCGGACGCTTCACTCAATCTCCTGGATGGATATGATGTACGCGAATACTTTTTATATGTCTTCTTGTTAGGTTAACTTCCGATTAGGTCATCATTAGGCGCTTACTTTATTGCTGTTATTTTGCCCTCTGCCTAATGTATGAAGGGAACATGGCACGTTACCGGAGCCTATACAGACAATCATTATAATTATAGTTCAGCTCTGATTTGTCGATTTTGGTTTCTGTGCATGTATTTCTATCTCTAGGTGCTGCTGCCGGCAGGTCATCTACAAGATGTGATGAAGTCAGTCATTACAAATGACGAGAGAATGCAAGAAGCCAACGTAAGTGGAAGAGAAGGGGGGAGGTGGAGAGGGAATGGGAGAAAAGAAAAAAGGAAGAGAAAAGGGGATATTGTTGTTAATTCTATTTGAATATCGTGGTGGGAGTGTAATATTGGTAGGGCAAAAACTTCCACGGCCATTGTTGCATAATTTTTTAGAGGCCATGTAGTCGAGGTTTATACTTATAGATATCTACAGTGTAGGGTAGTCTATTAGCATATTTAGGTCTAGGCTGATTGACCGAAAATGTCTGAAATATAATATTACAGATATACGAGGTGGTGCAGGCATGCATGAAGGCCATGCCTCATGTCACGTCTACTCGAGAGCTGCCCCCACTGATCCCTGGAATGCCGACTGACACGAGGTCAAAGGTCATCCACGAGCTCTATACAACAGAGTATACATACGTTCATAGCCTCGAGACATTATCAGAGGTGAGTATCTCTATGTTCAATTAGTGCTTGCAATTTCTGGATACAATTTAAGGTGAAGAAATTTTTCTATTGCCATGGTTGTTAAAGTCAGTGAGCAAACGGTTAACAACTTGACAATGAGTCCAAATTTTAGGATTGTGTGGGATTGACCCAGCTAGAATGTGACGAAGTGATTGTGGTTTTGATATAGTCGTGAATGTCATTATTACCAGGTGTTCAAGGACCCTCTGGCTACAGTACTGGGCGAGGAGAGTGGAAGAATCTTTGCCAACGTAGACGACATTCTCGCTTTCAACAAGGGATTTCTGGCACTCCTGCATTCCAGATTGTCGTCATGGACACCAGAGTCTCTTCTGGGAGACTTGTTCATTGGAATGGTCGGGAAATCGGGGTTCACAATATGTCGCATTGACCCGTTGCGCTGTGCCACGTCGCCGTGCTGCCGAGGATAGACTCAATTTCTATCTTCGCGGCAGGATGCGACGCGGCTCAGCGCGACGGGTCAATGCGCCGTATTGTGAACCCTGCTTTACTTACACACATCACTTACTCAACTCCTATACTTTTGGTCACTTGCTATAACATAATATGTAGCTAAAACTCAAAGGAGGGTAAAAAGGAGGGGGGAAGCAAAGAAGGAGGGGGGGAAAGAAAAAATGAGGGGTGGGGAATTAAAAAAGGAGGGTAAACCCCCCTGCCTCCATGACTTAGCTAAAGCCCTGCACATGTGGGTTGTAAATGCGAGTTTGCTTACTTCCTCCCTCTCTCTGTCTACCCACAGTTCACGCAGTCCCACAGAAGTATGTATGCAATCTACTGCAGTAACTACGATTCAGCTGAGTTACTGCTTCACCACAAAAAAAAGAAAAAAGAATTCGAACAACAACTTTCGGTAGGTTTTTGTGTCCGGACTTTCAGTCTTTCAGTTAACACAACTTCATATTCGTAAAACTTGTCTTTTAGTTATATCGGATTTTCAGCATCAATTGTTGCGTGAACTTCGAACCTTTTAGCCTTTTCTTACAACACTATGCATTTTAAATAGTGGGAAAGCGGGGGGGAAAAAGAAAAAAAAAGCAGAGTTATTTTATAAGAAAGAGAGTTTGTGGGTGCATCTCAAATGGTCCAATTTGCGTAGGTTTTTAGGGTACATATATGCTGGGCAATAAATGTGTTGCAATTGACTTATTTTGGACCTCTTGAGTGTCAGCGTGTTCAGATAAGTGACTACCTACCTCCTGTGTATGTGGTTGTACACGACTGACTGAAAAAAAAGAATGTCCAAAATTTAAACCCCGCGGGTATGTTTTTATGTGGTTGTACAGGTATGTTTGCAGAACCCTAGAGTAATGCACGGACTGACTCTAGCTGCATATCTCATAACACCGGTCCAGAGAGTTCCGAGATATATACTACTGCTCAAGGTACGTTTTGTGTGTGTGTGGGTGTGGGTGTGCGCATGCGTGTGTGCATGGGTGGGTTCGTGCGTGTGTGTGTGTGTGTGTGTGTGTGTGCATGTGCGTGCGTGCGTGTGTGTGTGTGTGTAGTAGGTATGACTCTTTTGTGAGGTGTGTGGGGTATTGGAGTCAAAGTATGGGAGTGTGGGGTATGATGTACGGCGGCATTGGGGTAAAATAGTAGTTTCAAAGAAGCCGCAGGTTACAAGTGAGTGTACAAGCACGCTTTTTAAAAAAAGTTCTTGTTTCAAGAAGTTGATGTTTTATACACAGGACATCATCCAAAGGACCCCAGATGACCATCCTGACTACCACAACCTACTCACTGCTAAAGCTGCAATGGTGGGCTGAAAAATTTATACCCTCTTGGTTTCTGTCTCCACTTGCTCCTTCCTCGTCCAGTGGCGGATGTATATAGGATTATGAAAGGGGGTTCCGCTGTCCAAGAACGCTTTACTGCGCTCGTGTGCGCGCACGAGGCCGGTGACGCATGCACGCAAAACGACAAAAAGGGGGGTTCCGCGGAACCCAAGGAACCCCCCTGGATCCGCCAGTGTCGTCTTTGTAACTTCTGTTACTCTCTTCTCCCCCTCTCTTTCTTCTTTTATCTCATATATTTCTTCTCTCTTCTCCCTTCTCTTCTCCACTATTTATTTATCTTCTCTGATTTCCTCCCCGTCAGGGTGAACTTGCTGACTACATCGATGCACAAATCAGAGAATCTCAAACCAAGAAAACCTTCGACAGTCTCAAGAACAAAGTGGTCGGACTAGCTGTAAGCTGTGATCACAGTTAACAATATTTTTTTCTCGCCTCAGTCAAATTTTTTGTGGCTATGCAGACAAAATATGTGTCATTGGTAGTGTCTATACAACCTCATTTTTTTGATGGGTGCCAGGTTATAAGGTTTCTTTCATGTCACCACTTTTATTGCTCTTTCCCTTTTCTCGCTGCCCCGCATCTCTCCTTTCTCCTCTTCATTCGCTCTTCATACCTTTTCTCCCTTCCCCTCCTTCACCCTCCCTCTTTCCCTCTCCCCTCCCTCCTCCCCCTCCCTCCTCCCTTCTCACTGAAGGACCTTGAATCACGTGACCGCTCCCTCGTGAAAGAGGGCCAATGTTTCTTGAAGAACATCAAGAAACTGTACCAGTGTATCTTGTTCAACGACCTCCTTGTGTTTGCCCACGGTGACTCCAGACAGAGCAAGGTCCAACTCCAACTGTCTCTGGAAGGAGTGTGGGTCGAAGATCTCGAAGATCTGGACCCACAGACAAGTTCGTAACCATATAGATAATAACTAGAACAATTTAATGGCAAGCATTTTTTGGCGAGCGAGCGTGAGCAGTTCATTTTTCACGTTCAATGTTTTAGAATCACGTAGAGCATTACATTGTGTGTGCGCAGTGCCAGTACATTAGAATCACGTAGACACATTTTCAAGTTCAATGTTTTAGAATCACGTACTTATATCGTATGACCCTGTCGCACCGTGCCGCGAAGAGGTTCCATCCTTACGACAGGGCAATGTGACATATTGTGAACCTAGCCTAACTCATCCCTTCCACCGCAGTTTACACTATACCTCTGTAACAAGCATCATGTCACCATAGATACACTATTATGTAACTGCAGGTAACCAGGACGCCATAGAGATCTACACACCAGACAGACCGTACACCGTCTACACCCAGACCAGCTCCGAGAAGAAGCTGTGGCTGACAAAGTTGCGAGAGACGATCTACCAACTGCTGCTGAAGGACGGCAAGTGCACTCGCAGCAGTGGGCTGGATACAGATCAGAGAACTGCCACGTTTGTGTACACAGACGGACGGCTATACACTGGCAACTTTACCTGTGCCAGGGTAAGTACGTAGTAATAGGTTCACAATCGGCTAGACTACTATGCTGCCTGCCGCGTCGCGAATCCATTTACATCTTCACATGACTCGACGCATGCGACGAACTTGCCAATCCAGTTGTGGTTTTATACTAAGCAAATTCATTGATATTACCTTAATTGAGCATACAGTGTGCTCAGACGCGGTGTAGCGAGGTAATGCAACATCATTGTGAATCTAGCCAACTCTTTTTTGGGGTCTGGGAATGAGATTTGGGGTTAAAATTTTGGACGTTCATTAAATTTTTGATGCTCAATTTTAATTTTTTTATTAACTCTCTTTTTTCCAGAGACATGGAAAAGGCACGATGGTGTGGCCCGATAGTTCGAAATACATCGTAAGTCGTATCCAATGTATTGTTACATATAGTGAAATGCTGCAAACTGATTGGTTGTTGCCAGGGCGACTGGGTCTACGACGAGCGTCACGGAGAGGGACAGTTCACGTTCAACACCAGAGAAGTTTACGATGGAAGATGGGTTGAGGACAGAATTAGTAAGTTTATCAGTGTTATAGGAACACATGTCTGTTTGGTGACTAGTGCATTATAATGGTGCCTAGGCATCTAAGGACGCGCGCATGCGCAGTTCGCCGAGGGTTTGCACTTCACTGCTTTTCATTACTGAAGTGACAATGTTTGGTACACATGCCTACTTGTGGACTGTACATTTCATGAGTGAGTCAGTGCATTTATACTATTTGTTACGTTTGTACGTTAATAGCTCCCCGGCATTACCACTGTAATATGCCAAACTAACTCTTGTACATCTGCAGCTGGATACGGCAAGATGACGTTTGCCTCAGACGACAAGTACATTGGTTACTGGAAAGACGGAACGAGACATGGAAGGGTATATACGTAACTGAGTAATTTAATTAAAGCATACCGATCATGTTTCGTGTCAAAGCACGTGCGTATTACGTGTATTGGTATCACAATTGCATGATGTGGTTAGCAAAAATCGATCAAACTTTTCTCAATAAATCCCTTTTCTTACTATCGAATGACAGCAAGGCTATCAAAGGAGATTTGCACTGAGTGTAGGGGAGGAAAAGCCATCAATCAATAATAAACAGATTGAGTATACATACAACACTATGTACATAGCAGTAGAAAAAAACTGCTGGAGACGTTTACTGTTGAAAAATTCCCCCTGCCCCCCTGCCCCCCAGGGTAAAATTGTGTACTCCAACAGAGATTTCTTTGAGGGGAACTTCAAGGAGGGCCAGATTGAGGGGGAGGGGACGCTGAGATGTCGGAATGGTCTTGAGTACATTGGACACTGGAAACACTCACAGGTACATGTAGTTTATATATACATACATAATGTACAACATGATGTAGTAGGTACATGTAGTTCATACACATACAACATGATGTAGTTCATGTAGTTCATATACATACAACTTCATGTAGTTCATATGTACAATGTGATGTAGTTCATGTAGTTCATATACATACAACTTCATGTAGTTCATATGTACAATGTGATGAAGTTCATGTAGTTCATATACATACAACTTCATGTAGTTCATATGTACAATGTGATGTAGTTCCTGTAGTTCATATACATACAACTTCATGTAGTTCATATGTACAATGTGATGTAGTTCATGTAGTTCATATACATACAACTTCATGTATAGTTCATATGTACAATGTGATGAAGTTCATGTAGTTCATATACATACAACGTGATGTAGTTCATGTAGTTCATATACATACAACGTGACGTAGTTCAAGTATTACATAATGTAACACGTGATTACATGCACATTATACATCTTACAGCATGAACATGTGGGACATACACAAATCTTACAGCATTTTATACATTTTTACACTGGTATTATACGTACTACATGTTAACATACGTAACTGGTATTATACTGACCTTACATGTTAACCTACGTAATGTGCGTAAGGCTAAATTTAGCATTATTTTGTGTACGTTTCTGTAGAAAAACAATGGTACTTGTACGGAGCTACGTACCTACCTATAGTACCATAGTGTGTACCTATTAAAGCATTATTGATGTTTAAATTGTCCTTGTCTCCCTCCCTCCCTCCCTCCCTCCCTCTTTCTCCCAGCGTCATGGACACGGCAGACTGAGAACAGTACTAGGCAACACGTACGACGGAGAGTTCTCCAGAAACCAGATCCACGGTACTGGCAGAATGACCTACTGTAACGGAGACTGCTATGATGGACAGTGGAAGGCTGGCACGGTATGCCACGTCTTGCTATTAAAGTGAACGTGGCAGTATATGAGGGGTATACTTATATATTTTGAAACTGAAAATCGAAACATTCTTCCCTAGTGTTTGGTGTTCTATCTTTAGTAACATTATCCCCTGTATACCCTTATATAGTAGTTGGGCAGTGATGTAGTCACATTAGAAACCCTTGTTTGTAGATTTCAATATACGTCTATAGATCAAACGTTTTTACACACTCCAATGCATTGTATGAGAAAACACTGCTACGAGCACTTAGTAAACTCAATGCGAGTTGTCTTTTCTAGTTTTTCGCATTTTAGTACTATTTATAATCAATGGACGTCTAAAAATCAAACATTCCCTATACAATACCGTGTGATATATATGTTTGACCTGCAAGTTTTGCCATTGATGATACAGTGGAACCTCTGAACAAGGGACTCTATGGGACCAACGATTTTGTCCCTTGTAGAGAGGTCGTCCCTATCTCGGAGGTCACTAAAGTATTAGCATGGGGTTGAAACAGGTGTCCTTTGTAGAGAGGTCGTCCCTATCTCGGAGGGTCCCTTATCGGAGGTTCCACTGTATACACACACGATCGTTGTCCTAATGCTATAAAATGTCAGTACTTATTCATTACTCATCGTCTCTATAATTATATGTAATCTGTGATGCTATGATAGAGACATGGGCAGGGGAAGCTGACGTCCAGGAGAGAAGGGGTCTACGAGGGGGCGTGGTTCAGCGACCTGCGCCAGGGGAAGGGCCGACAGGAGTATCCAAATAAGGACGTGTACCAAGGAACCTGGGAACTAAACCTGGTCAGTCCCTAGACTCCACTGTCTGTCTGTCTGTGTGTCTGTGTGTCTGTGTGTCTGTCTGTCTGTCTGTCTGTCTGTCTGTCTGTGTGTCTGTGTGTCTGTGTGTCTGCCTGTGTGTGTGTCGACGCTTATTCTGGCACTACAGGCTGCGAGGCGGCCTATTAGCGATACCAGCGGCTTCAGAACTACGCCAGCCTGAAAAATAAAAGGGCGATTTTCCTGAAACGACTGAGTTCGAGAAGGCCAAGCCAATATGCATCATCCCCTCACTTACGTATAATATGCTCTTGATCCTTTAGTTCCTTTTCCCTTTGCTTCTTTGTAACTCACTCTATTTCGAGAGTTGAGGGCAAAGTCTAGACTCAATTACATTCACATTGTGCATGTTATATTTGCATGTGCGTCCCCTTAGTGAGACTTCCCCATCTTACACCACACCAGCATACATATACATGTACTTGCTTTGCCTTGCCCTGTATTATCCCACTTCTTATTCCCCAAATAATGCTCTGTATTTGCCTAATAAAGGCCCAATTGACTCACTAGTGTGTCTATTTCAACATTCCTCACTTACTCCTTCGTCCTCCCTCTCCTCCTTCCCTCTCTCCCTCCCTCCCTCCCTCTCTCCCTCCCTCCCTCCCTCCCTCTCCCCCTCTCTCCCTCCTTCCCTCTTCCATTTCAGAGACACGGTAAAGGTGTCCTGGTGTTTGCATCCGGAGAGAGGTACAGCGGAGATGTTTCGTATGACATGATCAGTGGGGAGGGAGAGATGGTCTATACTGACGACTGCCGCTACATTGGACAGTGGATGAATGGACTGGTGAGTGGGGAATGTGACAGTGCGAATAAGGCAAGATTTAGAAATTGCTCTCTCTATCTCTAGTTAATTTAGCCGTTTTGTACTGCACTTTAAACATTGTTAGTGTAGCATTATTGAAGGATAGGAAAGGGGAGGAATAATAATATACAACAAAATATTTTGTTGCAAGGGCTCTTCATGTATATAAATATTTACCCAATTTCTCATGGAAAAGTAAGTGTGGGTCATGGGGTGCGTACCAATATAGCGAAACCTCTGAAAAAGCACCCTCTGAATAAAGGACACTTCGCTATAAATGACACTTGATGGATGTGTAGGTAGTATATATACAATATACAGGTACATTGTCTGGTTTATAATAATGTTATGGTCCCATCTACCCCCCACACACAGCGCCACGGACAGGGCATCATGGTCTACCACGAGACTTCGTCGATGAAATCAACGTTCAACGGAGACTGGCGCTACGGGTTACGGCACGGTCAGGGCGAGCTGGTGATGTTCGACGGATCGGTGTACCGCGGACTGTGGGAGAACGATAAACCGCACGGCAAAGGAAACTACTCTGTACCGACAGCAAACTATTACTATTCCGGTGAGAGGGTGCTCTCACACGTGGCAACGTGCCACCGCTTGTAGGTCACGTGACATCACCTGTGGTGGTCATGTGATATCATGTGACATCATCAGTAGTCACATGACCCCACCTGATGATCACATGCCCTCTGTGATGTGTATACAGCAAAATATAGAGTACGTGTGTGTGTGTGTAATTCTTATTGTCATTTATTCATGATTTTATGACTTTCAAAAAATGCAGTTCCATTCCTATTACCAAAGTTTTACCAAAGTTAAAGTTCAGCATTAAAAATTCAGCATTAAAGTTCCATTTTCTAAATCCTCACCTACATGTTGTAGCCTGGGCTCTAAATGGAGGGGGTTATTCCTGAAATCGCTCAAGTTGAAAGGGTTAAAGTTGTCCGTTGGGAATACTGTGTTTTTGTGTGCAATCATTGTCACCCTGTTTTACATTCATTTCCATGGTTACTATCACCTCGTACTTTGTCTGTATACTGGCTATAAGGTCAGAAATACAACGCATTGTACAAGATACCCTTATGTCCATGTCTCAGTAGACTTTATGTCTACGTCGCAGTAGACTTTATGTCTACGTCGCAGTAGACTTTATGTCTGTGTCTAAGCAGTAATAAAACTTTGTCATTCATGGTTTTTAGAAAACAGGATAGTACAATAGAACATAAGGCATCTTTAGGCCTTACACACTATGTATTAGTTACACAATGTAAGTATACATTATGTGTGCAGCTGAGCCTCGGTTGCATTGGGCAGCGTATATGTCCTAAAGAGTCCAGGCACTTTTAGTAGTGTGACTGGCCTTAAAATAGTCTATTATAGTGAGCACTTTTATGTACGTATCAAATGTATATAATTATGCCTTGTGTACTGACAGACTTATACATTATTAGGCCAAACTAACATCTGCTGAAAACCGTTGACATCTGCGGAAAACTTTCCGTGTATCCCTGAAGAGTGATAGCCAAAAATGTCCACAGAGACTTTATATTGTCTCTCTCTTTCTCTCCATATTTCCCCCTTGCACAGGTGATTGGGTGGAGGGGAAGAAGGAGGGTAAGGGAGAAGAGAACTCTCAACTGGGGCTGCACTACAGAGGCCAGTGGAAGGCGGACCAGAAGTGGGGACCTGGGGAAGAAAAGACACTCGTGGGAACCACTTTCACAGGTAACGAACATACTGCCAGTTCTACTGTTCATTCTACTGTTCATTCTACTGTTCATTCTACTGCCCATTCTATTGTTCATTCTACTGCCCATTTCAAACTGTTAGCTCTGTATTGTTTATGTGGCGTAGCCTAGGAAATGTTTTCAGAGGTACCGGAGGATTAGCTGTGGCATTGTTTATGTGGCGTAGCCTAGGTAACGAACGATTAGCTGCGGCATTGATTATGTGGCGTAGCCTAGGAAATGTTTTCAGAGGTACCGGAGGATTAGCTGTGGCATTGTTTATGTAGCTTAACTTTAGTTGTGGTATTGAGCTTAGCTCAGGAAAATTCTCAGAGGTGGTGATTAGTTGTGGTATTGAGCTTAGCTTAGGAAAATTCTCAGAGGTGGTGATTAGCTGTGGTATTGAGCTTAGCCTAGGAAAATTCTCAGAGGTGCCGATTAGGTGCGGTATTGATGATGTGGCTTCACCTAGGAAAATGTTAGCAAAAATTTTCCGGTATGTAGTACAAGTAGTATGGGCTTGAAACATTAAAATTTGAGTGACCAGTCCAGCAGCAAAAGCGAATAGCAAAGTACTAGTGTGGAAGAACTGACTGTACATTGTCATGATGTTGTGTACTCCAACCCTCGACGATAATGCTTATGAACAGAAGACCTGTACGAGCTACGACTATTGTATAAAGTTTTCACCTTTGAATTTCCCTGCTAAATGCATACCGTTGTAGAATTCTTACGCCCACTCGAGAATCAGCAATGGTCGAGAACCAACTTTCATTATACGCATGCTCTGTACAAGCGGCCCAATCCACTATGTCAGCATTCTGAATTCGGGTTTTGGCTCGGTACTGGCAACGCCTTGTGGGGATGAATCTCATTAGTTCAGAACCACAAGCGCCGCGCCTGAGCAAAGGCTTGTGGGGATGAGTTCAAAACCACAAGTGTTGCGCTCAACTTTGCCTTTATAAACTCGTGATGCCAGAGAGAGAAGTTGGGGTATGCTTTGCTGATGAGGGCCAACAAACCCGAAACAGCTGTCCAGAGCTCCCCATCTTTTTTCTCTTGGCATCACATTGTCTATTGTTACATGCTCTGTACAAGTATAGAAATGAATGAGTGAAGTGCTAATGCGCATGCTCAGAATCAGTTACCGTGTGAATGAAAGAGTCAAAAGATGAGTAGGCATGTTTATTACACTGTTATAATGTGTGTCAATATCTGTTAGGTCACTGGGAGAAGGACAAGAAACATGGCCGTGGGTCACGCAAGACTGTCACTGGATTTGTGCAGGAACAGGTGCTGTGTAACTAATATATAGCTTCACGACAAAAAAATCCGTTAAATGCTGAAAGCAACATTTTGTAAAGTGTCACAATTGTGGTGGGCTGCTTGTGCATCTGACACGCTAAAACAAACAATTTTGTTAAAATCTGTGTTTTTAACCCTCGGCGCGCATGCGCAGCGAGGGTTAGGTCTGTCTGTCTGTCCTTCTGTGTGTCTGTTACTCAACATCTCACTTCTCCAATGTTTTTTCGTCTCACAAACGATACTACCTACTTAACGGGCAATGAAGGTCAGAAACTTTGTGGCGATTTTCCTGAAACGACTGCGTTCGAGAGATATGCCGTGAAAACAAGCGAAAAAGCCAACTGCTCACTGGGCTTATACCGCGACCTGATCTGTTCGCTCTGTGTACCTTGGGGGCTCAAGAAGTCACAACGAATGGCATGTATCGACTCCCGCTCTACTACTGTAGCTAGCCCGTGTCATACTCTCCGCGAGCTACTAGCTGGAGACCACGACTCCACGAGAGTACAGCCGCAGTATCGCGCATGCGCAGTTCGCCGAGGGTTTGCACTTCAGTGCTTTTCATTCATGGTGTAGTAAGAACATAGCAGCAGGGCTAAGGGTAGAACGCAAACAACTTCACAATAGACTTCCGTACTAGTGATTTTTGGTAGGTACAAGCTGAAGTACTCTCACGTGTTGTGTACTTATGTCACATGACCTGCGGTCTTGATCACATGATTGTCACATGACCTGCAGGTGTGGCGTTCAGGTTTTCAAACCAACGATCCCCACAGAAGAACAGCCATTGAACTACCACAGCTATCAAGACTTGATTACTAGCGTTGATCAGATGCAATTTTATTTTTTAAAGTTTTTGTGTCGCATTATAATTATTGTTTGTCTGCAATTGTAACAGCAGTGCATTAAAAATATTGGCTGATTATTGCTGGTTTTGGCAGAGAATTATATACGGCAATAAGTTTGAAAAAACTTCTCAATAAACGACAAACTTTGGTCCACACAACACACTCCATATTATAGTTCCATGATCAAAGTGAACGATCTCCCTATAAAAGACAACATAATACTTGGTATAATATAACAGTGTCCATTATAATAATAATTATTATCATTAATCCATTCTGGAGGTTCCACTATTATAGTGACTGGCCGTTGTGGTCGTTATGGAAACAATATTATAATTATATACACATGAAGGTATTAGACCATGTGATGCCAATGCAAGAGAAAACAGAAGCGGATCCGGAGCTCTGGACAGTTGTTTCACATACGCACCAAGTTTCACCTCCATGCGTGCTACAGTTAGCAAGTTTTATTATGGAACACGTCCGAAATAGCGATAAGAAAGCACGAAGCAATAAAGTTACAATAGACACACACTAACGCATGAGATAATACTAAAATAAAATGCAGATAAAAAGAGGAGAAGTGTACAAATCGACAACAGATAATATTGTTGTTCAAGAGAACTAGGCACGAGGAATTGGGATTTTCTTCAACGGGAATTCGAGTTCCAACATTCGTTTGACGGCTTTTGATTCGCTCGTTGACTGTCGAATGACATCACGGACAATGCCTGGTTGTGCTGTAGGGAAGAATGCCGAGAGACGCCTCACTGCATCATCTGGAGGAAGGGGGGAGGAGGGTGGGGGGACAGGGAAGGTATATAGGAGAAATGGGAGAGCAACAGGTATTATAGGGAGATAGAGATGGAAAGATGAAAGAGCAGAGAAAAGCCGATAATGATACTCAGTAAAGTACAGTGTGGTACTGACTGTGTAGACTCTCTGGGTGTATAATAGTAGCCACAAAAATGCTAGTCTTAACGTTATTGACCCACAAATTTGTCACGTTTCACTCAAAAAATGCCGGAAACTTTTCTGGGTTGGTTCTTCATACAAGACTACGTAAGCTTTGAGTCACGAAATCTGCTGGTCAGCATTTTCATTGTTCTTAGCTCGTAACCCACATTCATAACCTGTTTTTCTTATGGCATACTATGCATTGAGTAACCAACAACAAATTCCGTGACTCAAAACTTAGTCTTATATGAAGTAAGAAGGCTTTTCTGGCATTCGGTATATAGACTAAAATTGGACCTGGTGAAATTTGTCTTCTGCCATCTTCTCTTCTTCTCCTACCCCTTCCTCCTCCCCCTCCTCCCCCTCTCCCTCCCTCCACCTGTTGGCCCCTCCCACCACTGGCCCCACCCCCCAAAGAATTCTGTCTCAATGAATTTCTTGCTCTCGAAAACCGTCTCTTCAGCGGCGCTCGTTTGCGGTAGGTGGCTTGAAGCAAGATGAACAAAACTAGAATTGCAATAATGACGATTATTGCTATCCACCAGTACACAGTTAGCCAGGCTACGATCGCATTGAGTGTCTCGAAACTCAGTAGGTCGAGAAGGTCATTTAGAGTTTGTTCGTTGTCGACTTCTATGCATCGACTGACACCAATGCTGTGTTGGAAAGGAGGGAGGGAGGGGAGGGAGGGTGGGGGGAGAGAAGGAGAGAGAGGGAGAGAAGGGGGGAGAGGAGAGAAGGGAGGGAGGGAGAGAAGGAGGGAGAGGGAGAAATGGTATGAGTAAAGGCCACAGAACTTTGTTGCATTAGACAAACGTCTAAAACGAATCTTCATGCGTAGACCATCATACCCATACATTGAAGGTGTATGAGATTTTGTCTCAAGCAATGAAGTTGCAGTGGACGTTAGCCTCAGCCAAAAATCGCTAAACTGAACCCTTTGGACGCCATGGGTATCTGCTTAAATGAGCAGAAATTGATGTATAACATATTAACTCCTAGTATTATAGCCATATATAAATTCTTATATATATATATGCCCGTGGCTTGCTAAGAGTTAAGTAGACAATACACGTGTATATACCTGTCCTGCTGACTGCAGTAACCCTGAAAGTTATTGCAAGATCTTCCAGCCTCCAGTCTAAGGCCTCTTATTCCTGTCAGATCTGAATCCCTTGACTCAATCTGTATAAGTAGAGTTACGTACGATAAAAGAGGGCAGAACCAAGTGTCCCAACAAATGTATTGGTGGTATTAGAGGGTAATGCAACGCATTGTTGGCGAGCAAGTGCGAGCAGTTGCGTATTTCACAATAATTGGTGGCTTTTGGGTGATTTAGATTAGAGAATCAAGTGGAACATTATGGCTGGTACGTGTGGCATAGCCGGATAGGAAAAAAAAGGAAAATTAGCTCGTTGTCGCGACTAGATAGGCTCACTTCGCTCACCAACAGAGGTGTACTTTATTCAGAGGTGCTGTATCAGAGGATTTGCTGTATTGGTAGGTAACTTATGCAGCAAATATCCTTACAGAGAGGTGTCAATGCATTAGGGCAGAATCAAGTGATCCTTATAGAGAGATTTCTTCTATTACTTTTTAGGAAGGTTTTGGCAAGTCTTCGAAAAAAGGACACATTTTGAGGTTCAGAGCATTCACTTCTCTATAATAATACGAGGACAACCTCCCTGTCCCAACTTATCCATCGTTCGGAGGTTCCACTGTACTTGATCGCTATAAGTACGGTAGTACTTAGTACATAGGGATGACACAGGTTGTCCTGCATTATGCCCATACATTTGAGATTAGTACGTTTCACTTTCTATTCCAATCAGATCCATATGAACTTGGAATTGTGGTGTTTAAGCACTCGTGTTGTGTTTATCTTACACCGACGAGGTCGATGGTGCTCATACAGTCCCCTTGATAACTGCAGCACACTTCGCACAGTCTGTCGCTGTCTTCGTTGACGTCACCACCGGTGCACTGACACTCCGTGAGCACCGCAAACTGGAGGCAGTACGACCCAATGCAGCTGCCTTCGTCGCACACGTTTGTTCCGTTGTTACAGAGCAGGGGCAAACCAGTGCCTTCTTTGGGTTGCGAGGGAGGACACGCTCCACTGGTCCCAGTGAGGAAAGAGTTAATTAAGGAAAACAATCAGATTTATTTGTTTGTGTTACAACAACTTGGAGCATGTACAAAGCCACATGGATTAATTCGTACCAGCAATTTTAGGTTGGTAATAAGCAGTTGGAGTATATAATAATAATAGCATTCGCCCTCTGGCAGTTTGTCAAGAAACTATGTGAGTTGCTCTTGTGTTCAAAAGGCGAAACTTAAGAATTGGACAATAGGGCCAAGTGCAAGAATTAAGTTTCGGGTTTCAGTAATAATTTCTGTACCACCACATTCCCTTTAATGATGCACAAACTAAAACTAGTGTGGACGTAACACACATGATGAAAGGATATTTGCAGAATGACGTCAGTGCACAGTCTGTCTGACCTCGGCAATCTGTTCGATTGTCAGTTATAATCATACAGTTTAGGTCACAGCACTCTTGCTGGGAGCTGTAGTGGCATGTAGAACGAAACATTACTTCATAATGACATCATTACACAGACTGATTACGTAATAGTTAGCAAGCTACCGGAGGATAACTTCAGTTCGCTTATACAGCTAGCCAAGGGTTAAATATCTGGGAAGATTTGGGCTTTACAGCGATAGCCTAAGCATTCACAAATGTCCCAGTCTCAGACTGTGACTGGGACTGGGACACTACACAGAGGGCTGGCATGTACGTATGTATGAATCTGAATGGTAACACAAATGCTAGCAAATCTTCGTGCATGTATATATGTATGTGTGTATCTCTGGCCCTACCCAGTGTTCTGGGTCCGTGGTCAATGACTGCAGAGTTAAGGGTGTCTCTTAATACTTAACCAGCCACGGACACATAAATGTGTCCAGAGCATCCGTAAGTGCATAAGAATTTATATGGGGGTTGGCGCTAACACTTTATTTCGCTTATTTAAGCCGATAACTATGGCGTCCAAAGGGTTAAGCATGTCGGGCCCAACGGCATCGTTGCATGCAAAATTACGTTCATTGTTACATCATAATGACATCATCACCTGCATTCATTCCCTGCTAGAAGGGTACAAGTGGAGTTGTCACAGCAGCGATCCACATCGCACTCCTCTCCTTCTTCAAGAACTGCATTACCACAGAATGCCTCAGTTGCTGTGTGAAGAGAGCATGGAAATGGTAGCGGGGGGAGTTTTATTTTTCGTATATACAAGTCTCCTGCTATAGTACATACATGTGTGAGCGCATCAAGTAAAAATAGGGGCTATGACACACAGGGACAAGTTTGAGTTTGTGAATGAATTATGTAGTACAACGAATAGAGAATTTGCATGCGTGATAGGGCGACGATTAGCCACACCAGAACCGCGCGAGAGCATTACGCGCAACGCGCATTGCGCTCTACGTATGGGATTTCCCCTCCGCCCGTGTATGGCTCGTGCTATGCTCGCGTATACAGGGAAACATTATAATGTGGTGTACACCCTATTTTTACTTGATGCGTTCACATGTACACAACTGACCAAAGCAGTCACTCTTGGTTGACTGTAGCACGTTTCTTATGTCTTCTCTACTGCACGGAGAGAACCTGTTGTTGTTGGTCTGACGGCCGTTGGTTGCCTGCGGAAACATGATGAAGTTCCCGCTGCTACCGCCCGGAGAGCACCGGCCACCCTGTGAGTCATGCTGGGAGGAAGGAAGGAAGGGAGGGAGGGAGGGAGGGAGGGAGGGAGAAGGAGAAGGGAGAAGAAGGAGAAGAAGGAGAAGGAGAAGAGGGAACAGAGAAAGATTTAAAAAAAGTGTAAGTGAAGAAAAAAAGGAAGGGAGGTCAAGTACAACGACAAAGGGGAAGAAAGGAGAGAGAAAAATTGAAGCAGAGAGCAAGAAAGGAATACACAATTGAAGGGGTCACAGCCAGAGTGAGCCAACCCTCAATATACAACTCTTGCCAGTTTGTTCTATAAGGACATTTAGAACATATTTGAAGGAAAACCGGCAAGAGTTGTATATTGAGGGTTGTCCCACTCTGACTCTGACCCCTTCAATTAAAGCACCAAAGTTGGTTTCATATCACGTAACACTTCGACATTCGATGCGAATGATCGAGATTTTTTGACACTGGGAGTTGTTATTATACCAAAACGAACATGCGCAAGGCTATCACTCACCGGAGATCCGAAATTGTGTCCCAGCTCATGAGCTATGGTGACCACGCTAACAGCTCTCGGTTGTCTGTTGCCATAGTTCGTGTACGTCACAATTCCCGTGTTCAGACTTCGTTCCCCGACGCTCAGACGAACCCTGTCTTCACAAATCCCCCCGCGATTTCCCCCGGGGGGCTGCGCAACCCACGCCAGACCCAAAACACCGTCGGCAAAATCGCGATTCGTGAGAAGAAGTGCGAGACAGAACATAGTGTGGTCGTCTTGCGACCATCGGTCGAGGAATTCACTGACCGCTATCGACGAGTCTGCGAATCGATAATTAGGGGAATCGAGCGTTAAAAGATCGAACTGTCCGATGGAAGGAGTTATGAAATCTTGAGCTCCGTCCCCATCGAAATCGGTAGTGCTATAGATCTCTTGTACCAGATTGAAAGCCGTTACGACTTCGGCGAAGGTGTCTTGCTCGTTACCGCCGCCGATCTGGGAGAAGAACAAGTGGTCCACGGCCACTCGCATGTGGCAGAAATTGCCTCCTGTGTTGGTTAGAGCTCGCTTCCCCCGAACACTCCCGAGCGATTCGGCCCCATTTTTCGACGATCGTTTCAACCGTCCAGTTTCGAGTGGAACCGCGGTGGCCTGAAGCTCTGTGAGCTGTCTCCATACCGTTCCATTGACGACGCACCCGGCCCGGTGGTCTGGGAACTGGACGTCGTCTTCGTGGTAGATAAACGAGTGAAACGACAGGTCCTTGTGGTTGGAGAAGTATTTTTGGGTCTTCTCGACGTGGTAGGTACCTCCCGAGGTTTTCAATACTCCGCTGAATACTCCGCCTATCACGTGACCGGTCACATGAGACGAGGGGTCACCTAGGAAACCATAAAACAATGGGAAAAACCAAACTCGCATATTGTAAGGGTATAAAAGACTGAAGATTTACGGAGGAAACTCACGTTAGTGTTGATGTTTTAACACAATGTTACGTTGAAGTTTTACTTTCGCGTTGTTTAACTCCATAATCATCCACAACCGACCTAAATTATTTACACACGCATTTTCGCTGATTTACGAATCTCTCGAAAGTAACGGTGTGTTGAACACTTAATAAGACAGATCGAAGTAAAACAGCAAGCACGTCTGACGCTGCACTCAGCACAAACATTACAATTTAATTCAAGCCACATTAAACTCTGCTTAGTATGCTTGTATGTATGCACTTATTACATGCATTCTTGCATGCTGAAATGTATGAAAACATTGCTATTGTATGTATAACATATAGCATACTGGCCACCTGTCTATACATGGACTGAAAGCATGATCAAGTAGTCACACCAGTGAAAAGAACACGGAAGTGAAAGTAGTGCGAAGTCATGTGTTTGTAAACAGAGAACTTTGTGTATGCATGCTGGTAAATGAGAGCACTAATAGTAACAAACAGCACCCAGAGCAATCACTAAGTACGGTAGTACTTAGTATATAGGGATGCAGGGCATGGTACCTAGCATAATAGATGTATGGGGCTATGATAGGGAGTTTTGTTCATCTTCTCCTTCTTCTTCTTCTTCAGATTGAACTCGCGTAACTCGTGCATGAGATATGTAGGGTTGGCTGTCTTATACAATACGTCTCAGAGACCTCAACTTGACCAGCACCCCCGCCAGTTTCCAGGAGAAACCTAAGACTGGGGGACTGTTGGATTTCTGAGGCAAGACTATATGTACACATGTGCCATAGCATAGATTTCTACTTGGACCCTCCAAAAAAAGGGGAACATGAAACATATCCTTGTGGAGGTGTACTGTATTCAGAGGTTGAATAATGCACAGGATCAAGAAATAAGTACTAGAACTGTCCATTACTTCCACAGTTTATTGAGGAATCTTAGCTCCCAGATCTTTTTCACACACACACACATGTGGCAAATATTAACAGTATCCCATTGGTGTGTTGAGACTAGCTCATGCATGCATTGTTTGAGGTTTGCCTTTGCCTTGTACTGTGTTGAAGATTCGAACCCCTACCAGCTGAGTTGCCCTGGTAGCTCAATTGGTAGAGCGCTCGCCTAGACTGCAGAGTGTCGTGGGTTCGAATCCCACATCCCACCCAGGGCAGCTCTTAAAAAAAGAGGTGTAGTTGATGTGTTTGCTTTTACCTCACTTCGCTTGTTGACACATGAAACTAACCGAGATGGCAGTGCGAAGTCATGTGCTCGTAAACAGAGAACTTTGTATGCACTATTAAGGCATTGAAGTATGGTAATTGATAACTATTAGCTCGAAGGCAGCGTCCTATTGCCATTTTGGTCTATGATTCTAATTAGTGATGTAATCACTATTCCTTTTTTGAGTAACGAACATGACACAACATAGTACGAGCAGTATAGTACGCTAAAGCGAGCAGGTATATATATATCTGACTACAAACTATAGTAAAAGAGTGTTGTACAAATCACGCTGCTCCGTACAATGACATACATCATACATACACAAAATGTCACAGTTTCGAATCACTGGCTTGTTATAATATTATCTACAAACTATGAAAGTAGAAAGAGTGTATGTTTTACAAATCACACGCTACGTACATTCACGTACAATGTACATACATACATACATAAGTTCACTACATGTTTCGAATTCCACTACAACAGTGGAATCCGTTATTTCTGCCGTCGAATACAACGTACATACTCAAAGTGCACAACACGTTTCGGATTCCTTAAGATAACAAAATGTGACACCTTCTCGCAATTTTACTTGTGACTACATGTTACAGTATGTATCGAAGAAAAGAAGTAGGGGAAAAGTGAGTAGGGAGAAAGGATGGAAAAAATCACACACTTGTACATTAGACAATTTAGAAACGAAGAAGTAATCATTTAAGAAAAGTGGCTGAGACTATTTTGCTGATTACAAACATGTGGTCGTCATGAAAATGATGCCTCATCCCCATGGAGTGCTACTGTTGGCATGTTTGAGGAGTGAAGGCTCTGCATTAGTGTACAGGAATCACAACTGCATTTAGAAGAGTGAATGTGAAGAGAGCAGTCCATGTACTACATACGTTCACTCACGTACGGAATATCTCAAGTGTGACAGAACCCGCCCACGTAACATGATCCTGTTTAGAGCTATTGGTTCTCCATTCTCCCACACTATACTGTGTGGTCCAATGAATAACTACCGTTTGTAAAGACAAGACTTTTAACCCATTCAGTCTTCTAGTAACTTTATACCCCATCTCACGCTCCTAGTTTCGTAGTTTAAGCAGGTCCGTCTCATAGCACACACCAATAGTAACACAACCTACATGTGTATGTACATGTCTCAACAACTTGTAGAAAGGCAAGGCAAGGCAAGGCAAACAAGTCAACTACACCCAGGACAGCTCTTTCTTTTCAAAGAAAGGAAGAAGAGCTGCCCTGGGTGGGATTCGAACCCACGACACTCTGCAGTCTAGGCGAGCGCTCTACCAACTGAGCTACCAGGGCAACTCAGCCGGTAGGGGTTCGAATCTACAACACAACACAACACAAAGGCAAACCTCAAACCACTGTGCTATGGCACAGTATACTCTCACTCAGATGTATGTACGTACATAGTATCACTCAGTATATTATACATATGTATGTACATACACACATACCCTGTACTTCTCCCTCATAGAAAGATGCTGGGTCATATGATGTCGTAGGCTTTCCGTTCACTGTGAATTTAGCTCCGGGAGAAAATGGACCCCCAGTACTTGGTCGGAGGTGGAGGTTGAACGATCTGCAACAGAGTATTAGAGCCCATGGAAATATACTTGTTTGCCTTAATACACATACAAATACACTCTTCAGCCCAATGTGTATATAATTCTCTAGTAACAAGGGTTTCGAGACCAGTTCTTGCATGCAAGTTAACCAGTTGAGAATGTGTCCCTATTCAGATGTATGGCTTAACTTCGGAGATGGTATATATACAGACTTTGATGTGGCTTTAACTAAAGAAAAACTCCCTATCAGAAGAAGAAGAAGAAGAAGATGAACAAAACTCCCTATCATAGCCCCATACATCTATGATGCTAGGCACCATGCCCATCCCTATATACTACCGTACTTAGTGATATATGCACACATGCCTACTATATGCCTTCTGCAGACATACCAATCACTAGTGATGCATGAAAGTCGCAGTGCAACAGGACTCACGTACAGACACTCTTAAAGAGCTGCCCTTGGTGGGGCAAACCAATGGAACATGCAGAGTGCTTTACCTACTGAGCTACCAGGTAGGGTATGCTTTATTCTCACATGCATGATATTGGTTGTAAAGGGTGACACCATAAATTACCTAAACATACACAAGTAACAGATGTCTCCCTAACTAACTGCCAGTGCAGCAGAGTAGTTTGTAAAACTGGCAAATTTCCCGAAGAGTTTAGCTGCCAGGTAGAAACCATACCTGCCATATGCTGTGAACTGCAAGTGAAGTTTCCTGATTTGCGGTTCCCAAATGACGCCACGGGAAATTCGGTCGTGTTTGTCTGCCAACGGTCTGGTGTTGTAGCTGAGTGGTTCGTAGTGGTCCACTCGGTCTACCTTTGGTAGGTCTGTTGGTTCATGTAAAGGGAATGGGGGGGAAGGGGGGAGTAATTAGGCAGCCTGTTTCAGTCTATCAAGTAATGCAGAGGAGTAAATAGTTACCTACGAACACGCCCTAATAACCTAGTATTACTTACACACAAGGGCTACGTATATTATATATAGCTACACACGTATAATACGCGATCAGCTCCCGAACCGTGACTGAACGCCATTCTGACTCACGGGCGGCGGTCTTTGCGCTCCCCTGGCCAACGGCCAAGCTACAGAACACAGCTGCCAACCACCACACTCCTCTGGCGTAGCTCTGCATCTTTCCATACGAAAAGCCAAGCACTCGCAACACTCAACTCAAGCGAAGCCGCGCCCCCATGAATTTGTCGAGACACGCCCACTTAAACGTCACGTGGATTGTTTAAGTGCGCTCCAATTGGAATTAGTTGTCCAGCCCGAAGTTCTTCTCCAGTGCGACTCTGCTATCATCTTTCTAGTGCGGTAGGGATACATCGAAGGTGCAGGTTAGTAAATAACAGCCCAATGGACTATAAATCACTCCATTATCCTCCTTGTCTAGCCATGTCCTTTATTCAAATGAATGTTCCGCTGGTCTTCTGGGGCAGGCGCCCGCCCTCACACAAGATCATGTGCATCTGCCGCTCGGAGGAGAGGAAAGGCGTGGCCACTGGCTCCCAGAGTGGCCAGATTTGCCTCTGGGATGTATATAGAGATCACCAGAGCGAGAAGATAAAGGTATGACATCATTTTATTCATATACGACGTCAACTATTGTACTTAACCCTCTGCGGCGCGCAGAGGGTTACCGTACTTGGTCTGTGTGTCCGTCTGTATCGACTCCCGCATCGGCATGCTATCTTATAGTGTAGCTCTAGCCCGTGTCAGACTCTCCGCGACCAACTAGCGTGGAGACCACGAGTAAACGCATACTCATAGCCCAGCCCATCAATTAGCGGTGCAGCGCATGCGTAATGCACCGAGGGTTTGCACTTCAGTGCTTTTCATTCTAATGTTACCGCTGAAAGAATGTTGGTTAAGAATTCTCTGACATGGTATAACAATCCTGTTCTGCTCTTATTCACGTCATCCCCCAAATTCTGTACTGAATTCGACACTGCGTGTTGTCCGACCCATCAATTTAAGGTGATGCTTGAAGTCATAAATGCTATGCGCGGTCATTTGTTTCACCAAGGGTTTGAACTTCAACACTTTTTCATTATAACATTGACGAGCTCTATTGTGAGTTCACAATCTACCACTTAGTTCAGAGTCATGTGTTCCCAGGTATGCAGCTCTGAAGTTAACAAGAGTAGCATCTCTCCCATTCCTCAGAATAATATCTAACAGCCAAACCCGGTCCAAAATCACAGCATTCTTCTTCTGACCAAACTACATATCCATTGTCACTGCAATCATCCTTTAAATGGCAGATTAGCACCATGTAGTAGTCGTCATCTGTGTTAGGATCAAAGTCAAAGTGTAACATGTACAATAATTATTCAGATACCCTGCTGAGCTATAGCCGTTTTCGACACGTGGCTTCTAAGTTTTTCGAGTATTCCCTGAGTTTTTCCAAGACGTCGAAGAGCGTTTCCTCCAGTACTTCCTGGTGTTCCAACAGATAGCCCCTGGGGTCTTCCCCGAGGCCTTGCAGCTGGCCATGAGGGGTAGCAGAGGGCCACCTCCAGGCAACACAGGAAGACAACCAGAGTGACAGCTGTGAATATCTTCATTTTCTCCTCTCACAGTCAGATTGGTCTGCTAGCTCTTCAACTCACGCTACCTCCTTTTATAGCTTCAGCTATAATTATGCATGCAGCGGTAGCTTCTTTTATAATTATCCTCTTTCTCAACAATAATGGTATCGAGGTAAACATGTCTTTTTTCGAAAATTGGCACAAGATGTAACCCTTGCTTTTAAGAAATTTGCCAAATATGTTGGCGGTTCCTCTTTTATACCTTCAACTGCTCATCAGCTGTGTATCACGACACTATATATACTTTCCTTTCCCAGTGGAGAACCATGCTTTGATCATTGATGTGCTGACGTCATTGAGTGTAGGATGCTGCTTCTGTATAATTAGCAAAGAGCATGCGCTTCAACTCTTTGAGCAATATTTGCATACTTCTGATTATAATCATCATGCTGTAGACCTATTTACTATTAGCGGGAAATCTATATATTCTTGAATGCATGCTTGCAACTATAAACGCCAGGGGGAGTTGTCTGATTGACTATAATGAACAAAGTGTAGGTGTTTTATGCGTTGTTCTTTGCTTGATTTAGTCGCAGAGCCAGAGCCTCACCCGAGTAGTCTGGCTAGCGAGCAAATAATGAAAAGCACTAAAGTGCAAACCCTCGGCGGAGACGCGGGTGCTCGCTAGAGGAGGTTTCCATGTCAAAGCAAAGTTGAGGAAGACTGCCTATGTACACAGCCTTCTGTGAAAGGCTGCAGACGAGGTAAGCATGCTACCAAGTGAGGCACATCTTTCGCTGTGCATCTACCATGTTTTATACCAGTGGAAAAATCATTTCTTCAAAATTCAAAATGTAATTAGGTTATTGCACATGGTTGAAGGGCGTGGCTACTGGCTCCAAGAGTGGCCAGATTTGCCTCTGGGATGTATATATAGAGATCACCAGAGCGAGAAGATTATTCATATATCCAATGTCAACTATTGCCTCAGGCTCTGACATGAAAAATTCTTTATTCACGTCATCCCCAAAATTCTGTACTGAATTTGACAGCGTGTTGTCCAACCCATCAATTTACGGTGATGCATATACATAAATACTATGCGCAGTCATGTGTTCCACAAAGGGTTTGTACTTCAACACTTTATTATTATAACATTGACAAGCTCTATTGTGACCAGTCTACAGCAGCAGTGACAACTAGAATACTACAGTTCAACTAAAACAATCTCTTTAGTTCAGAGTCGTGTGTTCCGCAACAACTCCTAGTTGCAAGGTTCAAAGCAGTAGTCGAAGAAGTAGCTGGACTTCCTGTAACTCCGTCCCCCCATCTGGCAGCATTCGTCTTTTGAGTCAACTGAAATTTCAGGGCCACTGCAGCGAGTCATACAATAGCAGCGTTCTTGTATCTCGTAACCTGTGTTGCAATAAACCTTTCAAAGTCAAAGGATAACATGTACCATAATTATTCAGATACCCTGCTGAGCTATAGCCGTTTTCAACACGTGGCTTTTAGGTTTTTCAAGCATTCCCTGAGTTTTTCCAAGACGTCGAAGAGTGTTTCCTCCAGTACTTCCTGGTGTTCCAACAGATAGTCCCTGGGGTCTTCCCCGAGGCTTTGCAGCTGGCCATGAGGGGTAGCAGAGGGCCACCTCCAGGCAACACAGGAAGACAACCAGAGTTACAGCTGTGAATATCTTCATTTTCTCCTCTCACAGTCAAATTGGTCTGCTAGCTCTTCAACTCACGCTACCTCCTTTTATAGCTTCAACTATATGCATGGAGCGGTTGCTTATTTTGTAATTATCCTCTTTCTCAACAATAATTATCAATTTTGGCACAAGATGTAACCCTTGCTTTTAAGAAATTTGCCAAATACGTCAGCGGTTCCTCTTTTATACCTTCAACTGCTCATCAGCTGTGTATCACGACACTATATATACTTTCCTTTCCCAGTGGAGAATCATGCTTTGATCATTGATGTGCTGACGTCATTGAGTGTTGGATACTGCTTCTGTATAATTTAGCAAATTACACTTTGCAAAGTGCATGAGCTTCAACTCTTTGAGCAATATTTGCATGCTTGGGGGAGCGATATTAGCTTAATGAACAAAGTATGGGTTTTTCTGTGCTATGCTTTGGTTAAATCACCCGAGATGTGCAATGTTTGCTATAATCTCCAAATTTCATTCTCTGTATATACTGTGTTGTGCTTGAATAATTACCGGCTCTGATGTACAAAAGTGTATATTATAAATATTGGCTATAGTGTACAAAGTGTATATTAGATAAAGTGTATATTATAAATATTGGCTATAGTGTACAAAGTGTATATTAGACAAAGTGTATATTATAAATATTGGCTATGATGTACAAAGTGTATATTAGACAAAGTGTATATTATAAATATTGGCTATAGTGTACAAAGTGTATATTAGACAAAGTGTATATTATTAATATTGGCTATGATGTACAAAGTGCATATTATAATTATTGGCTATAATGTACAAAGTGTATATTAGATAAAGTGTATATTATAAATATTGGCTATAGTGTACAAAGTGTATATTAGACAAAGTGTATATTATTAATATTGGCTATGATGTACAAAGTGTATATTAGAATTATTGGCTATAATGTACAAAGTGTAGGTGCTTCTGTGCTTTACTGTGCTTGAATTTAGCCTGTGAGACTAATTATAGTTTCGTAGGAAAGTCTCGCATGTCATTCCACAAAACTATATTTTTGCCTGCCATTCATTCAGAGTATGACATAGATTTCAGTATACATACCTACTTCATGCACGCTATTAAATGAGCGTTATCTTTCTTCGTCTGCCGGCTCAGTTGCGACCAAGATGTCTTCTGTTTGGCGGAATATCGGCCATCAAATCTCTGTGCTTCGTGAAGACATTCAGTGGAGACAGAGATCGTATTGCCAGTCTCAGCGAGAAGGGGTGAGACAATTTACTGCCGTGATCACTACCTTGTAGTGTAACCGATATTCCAGTTGATAAATTTGGCCTTTGTTTTACCTTGTACATGTATTTTCCAGGAAGTTTATAGTTGTCAAGGAGCGGGCTAGTTGTTGTTAACTTCCTTGTTCTACAAGATGTTTTTTCCAGCAAGAAGTAGTGAGTGACATTGAAAAAGAGCCTCGAGACCAAGGTCTCGCACATGTAACTTTGCCCCTGGAGATTAGTACTACACTGCCACCCTTGAGAGATTTTGTTGTATGAGACGTGTTCGAATCCCTCCCACGGCAGCTCTTCTTCTTTTCCTCGAAAACAAAGAGCTGTCCTGGGTGTAGTTGACTTATTACTTTGCCTTGCCTTTCTACCTCGCTACCTCGTTGTGTGACACGTACAGGTAGGATGGGTCACCAAGTTACTGTAAGTGTTGTCTGCATGCAAGATTGACCCATATTATAGTTATATATTTGCAGGACACTTTATTTACAAGACACTTGTGTGTCTCACTCGAGTTCATTGACCTAATGTGTATACTGGCCATGTGTGTGTGTGTGTGCATGTTGCAATACAGAACAGTGTCAGTGTGGGACGGAAAGGATGGAGCATGTCTCAAATATATCGTCATCCCGGGGAGCCACACTGGGATCAAGGTGTGCATATGTGCCCAGACAGGACAGTATAATACCTAACTTCATACATATACGGGATATTCAACAACAAGCCACACTGGGATCAAGGTGTGCATTACACGATTGTGGATGATTGCCAAACTGTGCACGTACTCCACAAGTATAGGTTGCAGTGCCCAGACAAGAAAGCATCGAGCCCTGTAAGGGCGAACGCTTTCATGTCCGGGTACTGCAACAAATTAGTTGGATATCCCTAGGCACGTACTCCACAAGTATAGGTTGCAGTGCCCAGACAAGAAAGCATCGAGCCCTGTAAGGGCGAACGCTTTCATGTCCGGGTACTGCAACAGATTAGTTGGATATCCCTAGGCACGTACTCCACAAGTATAGGTTGCAGTGCCCAGACAAGAAAGCATCGAGCCCTGTAAGGGCGAACGCTTTCATGTCCGGGTACTGCAACAGATTAGTTGGATATCCCTAGGCACGTACTCCACAAGTATAGGTTGCAGTGCCCAGACAAGAAAGCATCGAGCCCTGTAAGGGCGAACGCTTTCATGTCCGGGTACTGCAACAGATTAGTTGGATATCCCTAGGCACATACTCCACAAGTTGTGGTACATTTCCCTCATTCCATGCCAACACATTCCAATACTTTAGTTTGAAAAGAGAGAAGAAAAAACATTAGTTTCAGATGCCCTAGCCCTAGCCCTACTTAAGTCCAATACCCATTACACCTAATCATAACTAACCGATGTGGTTGTCACCTGCCTCTTTATGTTCCATTCCTTGATTGCCCATATTACATACAAACTAATTTTATCCCCCAAAGATTCTACCATACCAACAAATTCATTCCCCCATTCCCCTATTCCACAGGCTCTGTCCCGTACCAAATACTCGGAAACGCTGCTGGTACTGTACGGGCGGTACTCCAGCATCCACATTCTGGACGCCATTTCTCTGGACACTCTCTGCGTCCTGAGGAGCAGCTGTAAACCAAACTGGAACGCTCAGATATCCTTCCTCATAAGCCCCGAGAAGAAAGGTATAAAATAAATAATGCATGTGTCAACGACGAGGTAACGAGGTAGAAAGGCAAGGCAAAGCAAACAAGTCAACTACACCCAGGAGAGCTCTGTTTTCAAGGAGAGAAGAAGAGCTGCCCTGGGTGGGATTCGAACGGCGAGCGCTTTACCAACTGAGCTACCAGAGCATCTCAGCTAGTACGTAGGTATTCGAATCTACAACACAATACAACACTAAGGCCACGCGGCATGGTGCGACGGGGGCAATGCGACATACATATTGTGAACCTAGCCTTAAGCCTCTATATACCTTGCAGTTGCTCTCAGTCAGTCCCTGACATGTACAGACCACCTCCTGTCGCTGACGGTGGAAGGTGTGGCCAAGATGTGGCTCCTTCCGACGAGGAACGAGATGAAGGAGCTGGGCGAGATGTCGGAAGAGAAGACGACTAACCTCTCCATACAGTGTCCCGTACACATGACCTCATCGTCTCACGGAGGGTACAGCACCACCCTTATTGTCTGCAGTGAGGTCTGGCAGGTAATGTACTGCAGAAGATACAGTAGTTTTCTTCACGTTAAAGGCACTGTGGCAGTATTATTAATTTAGAAAATGTTTAATTGCCCATTACCTTCACAGTTTTGTTAATCATTTTTCTCCCTTGAATTGACTGTTCCACACACTGAATAGTGCCAGTGCTATATAACTCTCATTGCTATCTTTTTATAGCCTTGTTGAAAGGGAATGTGTCAGTACCTAAGGGCTAAATTTAGAAATGTTACTAAAGATAGAACTCTGGGGGGCTGCAGGGTGTCGCTGGTGGAAGGGGTGAGTTGAGGTGTCTGGGAGGTGAGACATGTTCATATGGTGTATGTTCGTTTGTTAACGGTTCCGCCCATTGATCTGGGTGCGTGGTCTATGGCCCTAGTGCTATGGCAGAGTATTATTATTATTACTAAAGATAGAACTAAACAATGGGACCCAGTGCAAGGATTTAGGTTTCCGGTTTTGGTAACAATTTTGCCCTTATATACTGCCACATTCCCTTTAATCGAGCTTTGGAACGAGGTGAGTGTCGTTTTAACTACATACGTCACTGTCCAGATTTATAACACTACCAATGGTCACGTGAAGCTGCTGATGATCAGAGCCCGAGAGGAGTCGGTCACCTCCTGGGCAGCTGGAGAGTTCATTGACTACCAGACCATCCTCGTTTGGGACAAGGTGCACACACCATCCATTTACGGGGCAATATATTTATTTGGGACAGTTACGCATTGCACCATCCTTTAATGGGGCAATAAACCATTCTCATTTGGAAAACACACACTGGACTATGCACATACGTGTTTGTTGTTATGTAGGGAAGTGGAAGGGGCTATGTGTATCGCCTCTCGGCAAGGTATGTTTCCATGGTAACCACTATTAGATGACATCACTGTGATGTCGTTATCCAGGTGTGTGCCGGGTCTCAGTGAGAGTGATGACAGTCTTGACGGTAATAATATTAACATTATATAAAGTTAGATTGTGCTTATGTATGTATGTGTGCAATACTTTGGTTGTTCCTGGATCACGTATGTATACTTATTGCCCAATATTTGAGAAGAAAACGTACGCATTTTAGAAAAGTTGCCGATTGTTTGTCCTCAAATGTTCCTGTCCGCATAAAGGTTCATCCCATATTATACCCTGCTAGTTGTATACAGCACCCTCTGATGAAAGGTGGGTACATTTGTGTATGTATTTTCAGATTCCAACACAGCAGGGTGTTCCCTGGTGTACACCCTGGCTCCGCCCCAAGCCACACCCAACTCGTCGCACCTCCAGCTTGCCGCGTACATGGACCACACCTGGTGTTGCCAGGGCGACCACACAGGGAGGTCAGAGTACCTTTGTAGAGATCATGCATTCTTATTGCAAAACTATTTTTTACATTTCAACGTATTATTAACTTTGTGTCATGTGTTTACGTCAGGTTGTATTTGTGGAACATTCAGAGGCTGCGTCAGGAGCCTCCCCTGTCCCATTCCCATGTCTCCATTCCGCCAGATGCCCATGCCTGTGTCGGGGATTCCTGGCAACCTCCTGCCCAGCCATGTGGCCTCACTGATATGTTGGTACGTGTTTAAAACCTCTATTTCTCTTGGGGTATTGAGTCTTATTGTGGAGTACGATTATTGTATGTATGTCCAATGAATTTCCGATACAATATCAGCTGTTTTTTGTATGAAGAGCCACACAATGTTTCAGTGTGTTGTTTTTTCACTCAAACCAAAGGAGCACCCACTTCTCTTTATCTTCGTTCTTTAAAATCCTATTTTCCTCTCACTTACCCCCTTCCTCTCTCTCCCCCTCTTCTCTTACCTGCCCTCCCCCCAGTACCCACCGTCCATGTACACCAACCCACCCACCCTGACCTGTGCAGTCTACCTGGCAGCCTACGGTCGCCTCGTATGTGGTCAAGAAGATGGTTCAATTGCTGTCCTCTCTGCCACCCAGGCTGCCACTGTACTCATGCTACAACCAAGAAAATTCTGCAGAGGTTAGACCCGGAACATCAGCATTTTTGTTGATCCCAGTAATAATTCTTATTTGGGAGTAGTCTTGTAGGCCATACGCAATTTCTTGCGAGCTAACCTAATTAATTAAACTGTTACATTATTTTCTTTTCCGAGTTGTAGTATATTATTGTTATTGTCCCTACCCCTCTCTCTCTCTTCATCTCAACATTCTGTTTCCCTCTTCCTCTTACATACCTCTCTTCTCCCCTCATATTTAACCGTATGTTACTTGTCTCTACCTCTATACCCTTCTCTTCATCTCATAATGTAATATGTACTGTGTACCACGTTTCACCTCCATGCGTGCTACTGCTAGCAAGTTTGAGGAGAAGTGCCTGAGGCTATTTGTTGTTGTTGTAGTCGTCATGGAAACAGATATAGTTGTCATGGAAATGATGTAACTCTCCCCCTCTCCTCAGGCTGGCCGCAGTATTGTATTCTCAAAGGTCACAGGAACCGAGTCAACCACCTGCTGTACCCCAGTGCCCACAGCTCAGCCTACCACTCTGACTACCTCCTCTCTGGAGGAGCTGGTAATTAACCCCCGGCGTGCCGTGTATCGACTCCCGCATCGGCATGCTATCTTATAGTGTAGCTAGCCCGTGTCAGACTCTCCGCGACCAACTAGCGTGGAGACCACGAGTAAACGCATGCGCTTATAGAGTTATAGGCTTTAACCTCGACCGGGCCGCTTGCTCTGTGTATCATGAAGGCATAAGAAGTCACAACGAAGGGCGTGTATCGACTCCCGCATGCTATCTACTACTGTAGCTATAGTCCGTGTCAGACTCTCCGCGGGCTTCTAGCGTGGATACCACGAGTAAACGCATACTAATAGCAGCCCAGCCCATCAATTAGCGATGCAGCGCATGCGCAGTTCGCCAAGGCTTTGCACTTCAGTTCATTTCATGAACCGTTAATTCTAAGTTTCGCCAACGCGACAGGCCGGTGTGTGAGACACTAAAACCAAAATATTTACCGTTTGAGTCGCGACAACTTCATAAAAATGGTGAGTTTTTAGTTTTCCGATCTCCATGTACAACTTAACAAATTAACACCCTCACCAAAATGTAGAAAAAGCTGCACACTAGCATGAACTCTTTTTGAATGTAAATCTGCAATTTTTATGATGTCATTGGGGATTCTCCAGATTTCACTGTGAAGTTATGGGACCTGTTCCACGGAGATCTGATCCATACTTTTGCTGTTCACGGAGGAGGGGTCAAGAACATCGTCACCTGCCCTCCTGAAATCAACGTTGGTACAATTTTTATTGCCGGAAATAGTTGAAAGATTTTGATGGGTGACATTTCCTAATAATGTGCTCTGTATCTAAACTTGTAGAATTTGACAGCAAGTTATAATCAGCACTGCTGAAATTTGGCCTATTAATTAAAACCATTACTATCACCACATTGCAATAAGTTTATGCAGCAGAACTCGAACCTGCACTGACATGCATGTCTCAACAACTTGGTAACGAGGTAGAAAGGCAAGGCAAGGCAAACAAGTCAACTACGCCCAGGATAGCTCTTTCTTTTCAAAGAAAAGAAGAAGAGTTGCCCTGGGTGGGATGCACAGGCAACCTAATTACATCTGAAATATAACCTGTTCTATACATGCAACCATATTAATGTGTTCTCTCCATTATACTTTTCCCTGTCAGCCTCGACTCCAGACGTGTGTCTGCTCAATAGCAGAAGACTATTCAGTCGCCATTCTCTCCACGTCGGAACGGAAGTGTCTCCTCGTGGCCGCAGTCCATTCCTCTCCGGTGCGTGACGTGGCGTGGAGACTGAGGCAAGACTTCCTCCTGGTCTCCTGTACTGATGGCAAATTATACGTCTGGCAGATTGAGACCGGTAAGAATCATTGTGTGCAACAATCAGTTTAGTGGTGTATATAGTAGCTGAATGATTTTATGCAATACACGTATTGTAACTAAATATAGGTTATACTGCGCGTCAATGGAAATACGCGATTTAGACGGCACGAGGGGCCCTGAGCTGTAGCTGTCTGAGCGCAGCGAAGACGCTACTAAGGGCTCCGAGGCCGTCTAAATCGTGTATTTCCATTGACAAGCAGTATAACCTGTTTAGACGTCCAGGTCCGCCGTCTTCCGAAAGACTCGCTCTTGCCGGGGGAAGCCAAAAAGGTCTTCAGTTTAGTTTCTTTTTGCATCGTAGAGAGGCCTTTCATCGAAGAAGCATCGGATATAGCGAGTTTGAAGTCGTCGCGGCGAGCTCTCAGTGACAGAGCGAGTTTCTTTGCGCGGAAGCTTGCCACACCCCCATCGAAGACGCCATTTTTTGGCGGGCGTCTCCATGGAAACACGCACTTGGAAAATACGGGATTTAGAATCCACGTTTTACGCAATCTGATTGGTCAATTTGAATCTGCCGACGTCTAATATTATTTTGTGCATGCTATAATGGTATTCTTGCGCACTGCACTCCCTGCGCGGTGAAGAAAAACTTCATTTTTCCTATTCTGAATGGCTGCCAAATTTTGAAAATATTCCTTAATGCATCGCTCAAGCTTGCTTTGAACAATATTAGCTCCAACTTTTTGAAGGAGCATCTTAGTATTATGAGTGAGCGTCAGTCCATAGGATGAAGCTTGCCTCCCAGTATAGCACCAACTTTTTGAAGGAGCATCTTAATATGAGGGAGCATCAGTCCATAGGATTTTAACTGCTGGTATTACGAAGCATTAGATGATTGCCTCCTCAGGGTCTCTGGACAGATGTGTTGAGGGAGAAACGGCCAAACTAGTGTTGAGCGGAGCCCAGGACACCAGCAGCTCCAAAACCAGTCTGTCCAGTTCCACGAGTTTCCCGCTGCAAGTCAGGTCTCTCCAAGCCGGGGAGGGAGACAGCCTCATTCAGGTAGTTTGTCTCCCTCTCTCATCCGCAAGGACTAATACCACAACACACTCTTTTTCTTGCCCATTTCTCTGGTAGTGGATTTAGATCTGTCAGGTTCTCCTTCCCCATACTTTCTGTCCCCGCCATGCTCCTTTTTCACTGTTTTACTGATAATATTGATTCCTCTCCTTTACGTACTTCCACTGTTCTAACATCAGCACTCGTTTTTCATTTCCCATGATCCTGTTGCTTTACAACTTATAATGCTTGATTCTATACTGCATCTATCTAGTCTCCATTCTCATTTCTCATTCTTTCATTTGCATTCTCAATCCTCCATTCCTATGTTTCTCTATCCTTTATTCCACAGGTCCTGGTATTTGACCCCCAGAGCCTAATCAATAGACTGGGAAAGATGGACAACATGGCCGAAAAGGGTGTGGCACAGCCCAAGAAACAAGCCGACGCCTTCCGAACGTGGCTCTCCGCCCGACGAAACTTTGGAGCAGGGGCGGGGCCGGGCGGAGTCGGGATGGACCCGGCAAGACGAAGAACATCGGCTCCGGCTGTGGTATTTGAGGGTGGACAGCGAAGAAGAGGGGGCGGTGACCAAGGAAACACCCGCCCGGAGACGGAGAGGGCAAGAGAGGTGTTGGGGCAAGCCGTTGCCAGTCAGAACAAAATTGAACAGCTACAGGAAGAAGGTTTGGTGCTGTTTAAACATTCACAGCAACTTCACCTTGAAAGTTATAATAGCGAATGAAGTGCATAATTTTTGGAAGAGATTACATACAGTAAATTGAGCACATCTCCGGCAAAATACTTGATACTATTTGTGCCTATTACAGAGGAGACAAGCATGCAAGTACACGCACTGCAGCCATCGCACATCCATAATGAAAAACCCTAAATGTTAATGCATTATGGTGCAGTATATGTTTTAACACGTGTGCCTTAAAACGCCTACATTGCAGCTCCAGTGACGACATTGAACATAGTTCGCCTGCTGCTCTCTTGCCTGCATGCCTGGAGTCTGGACCAAGACCTCGACAGAGACTGTGAGGAGGTCCTCGGGCTGGTCAGACCCTCTCGTCCCGTATCATTCGGGCTCCTCAGCAAGGGACAGTGTCTCTCTCTCGTACTGCCTGGTAAGACTCTAGGGTGTGATTGCCTCTCTTGTGTGGTAAGTATATAAGTCTGTAGGTCATGAGCAAAAGACTGCCTATCTCTGTCTGGTAGGTAACTCTTTAGAGCATCAGTGCCTCTCTCTTGTGCTGCCTGGTTAGCTAGGGCATTGCGTTCATTACCAGACAGGAGTTGGAGACAGGAGTTGGTGAATAACACCAGCTTTTTCAGTTCTTGACTCTAGTTGAGATTTCTTGTCTCTCAGCTAGCTCAGTTGGTAGAGCCTTCTTCACCAAACGTAGAGCGTTTGAGCTGCCTAGCTAGCAGATTTCCTTCCCTAGATATAAATACATGTAAACTGCAGCATGAATAGTGTGTGTTCTCCCCAGGTTGGAACCTGAAGCCTCACCCCACAACAGATGACCAATCAAATATCAGCCCCATGGCTCCAAAGAGTGAGGAGACAAGTCCTCCGCCTCCATATGAAGCCACACCAGCTGAAGAATCTTCAATTACAAGCCTGCAGAGGCAGGACTCATCCCCATCATCAGGTATCCACATTTGTGGGGATAACTTGCAGTTTCCCACTTTTCACTCCACAACTCTGTACATATTGCATGCTTCCATTTCTTGTCTCAGTTCCTTTTGTATACCACCTCTACGTTATACTGCAGGATTTGTCTCCTCTCATTTTTATCTGTTCACACTGGCCCTGCCCAGCTGGTGTGGTGTAGAGCCTACAAACCACAAATGTATGGGGATGATGGGTTAGCACAAGTCCTGTAGAAACTCTTGTGAGATGAATCTCATTAGCTCAAAACCACAAGTGTTGTGCTGCTGGTTGAGGTGCAGTGTGCTCAAATCTGTTTCCTCCTGCTTTCTCCTGCTTTTGCTTCACCTCCTTCTGCTTCTGTCTGCAGACCCTCTCTCCGGCCGTGCCGCACGCATCTGCCAGAGAGGGGGTCTGCGCGTGTGTGAGACGTTCTGCAGGCTCGCACACCGAGGCCTCACGCATCTGCGCATGTCTGCGAGGCCTCACACATCTGCGCAAAGAGATTGTCTACGGGCTCGACCAAAGAGATTGTCTGTGGTCTCGCGCGTCTGCGCAAGCGTGGACCAAAGAGATTGTCTGCGGGCTCGCGCGTCTGCGCATGCGTGGACCAAAGAGTGCCGGCTGCTCACACGGCCCTACCGCACGTGCGGGCTTGAACGGGGGTGTGCCTTCTGCTACTCCTGCTTCCTTCTTATACTTTGCCTCTTCATGCTTCCCCTTCTTATTTGCCTCCTTCTCCTTTGCTTCCATCCCCTTCTGCTTCGCCTCGGCATACTTTGCCTTCTTTTCTTCTTCCCTTTCTGCTACACCTTTTTCTGCTTCTGCTTCACCTCCTCCCTCTTCTTCTTCTGTTTCTGCTACGCCTTTTTCTGCTTCTGCTTCACCCCCTTCTCCCTCCTCTTCCTCGCCTCCTGCTTTCTTGCATCTTCTCCTTCTGCTTCTCTCTCTCTCTCATGCTCCTTCACAATTTAAATCCACTTACTAAATGTGGTAATGCAACTTTCATGTTAGCTATGGGCACCTTGTACAGGTTTCAGTTTTGATAAAAAGTACCACATCCGCTGGCAGCTGTCTCGCTCTCTCACCACTCAGCATCTTCTCACCATGGTAACCCTGCCCCCCTCAAGCTCTCTCGTTCTTATCTGTTTCTTTACTTCTTTCCCCTAACAATAGTGTCAGTTTTACCTCCTCTTCCTCTTTTCTTCTTCTCTTCCTCCTCTTCTCTTCTTCTCTTTCTTCTTCCTCTCCTTCTCTTCTTCCTCCTCTTCTTCTTCTTCTTCTCTTTATTTCTTCTCTTTTTCTCTTTATTTCTCCTCTTCTCTCTCTTCCTTTTTCTTCTTTATTCCTGTATTTCTTCCTCCTTTTCTTCTTCTTCTCTTTCTTCCTCTTCTTCTTCTCTTTCTTCTCTTCTTACTCCTCTTCTCTTTTTTCTTTTTCTTTGTATTATCTTTCTTCCTGTATTTTTTCTTTTTTTCTTCTCTTTCTTTCTCCTCTTGTTCTTCCTTTTTTTCTTCATTGTTTTTTGTCCTTCTAGGTGTCTGTGACCAACACACTGATGAACCAGAGTGTGGGAGCACATGTCCTAGCAACCAGCTCAGGCGTCAGGAAACACAAGCAGAGTGAATCGGAGGATTCTGATTGGTCGGATTCAGAGGAGTCCCAGACGCTCCGTGACAACCAGATCAGAGCCGTCTGGAGTCAGGTGATCAAGCAGCTGCAACTGGTTATATATACCTGTTTGTTAATCGTTAAATTTCTTGCCTACGTACATTTCAACATAAGTCTATAGTGTATAGTGGTGTTGGGGCATTTACGAACGTACCCACCATGTGGATTTAGCTAATATGAAGTGTGGTATGTGGCAAAACAAAGTGTTTCCTTTTTGTAGAGATGTTTCCTGCATTCAGAAGTTAATTTCGCTGTAGATGTTAGAGTGCTGTATTTGCTGTGTACAGGTGGCTGCATTGCACTGTGTGATGTTGCCGGAGAGAATGGAGGGAAGGTTTAGAGCTCCACATCTTCCTGTCCTCGCCTCACGTTTTCTCGACCCCTGTCAGGCCGTAAGCCATGTATATGTACATGTATGTGTGATACTATTTCATTATGTACGGGAGGTATGTACATACAATACGTCAGCCCAGAGCATAATCCACAATTAACTGCTAATTCCAAAGGCCTCCTTTCCTCGTGGTTGTTTTCAGGCCATAGCATCTTCACATGGACTTATTATGTTGTCAACTGTATTTTGTGACCACTTGCCTCCCTTGTGATCCATTCTCCCCCCTCCTACTCTCTCTTACTCCACGCCTCCCTTCCCTCCCTCCTCACACTCCAGATAAGAGAAGCCAGCCAAGCTCTACTGCAAGCAGAGCTGCGCCGTATCCAGTCAGAAGGACGTAAGAAACTAGTGATGAAGTGGGCAGGCAGACTCCAGGCACCAGCCCCCCACAGAGGGTCCGGAGAGAGGGGAACCACAATTTCAATGGAGGAGGGGGACCTCAGTGTTGGGGAACATGGGAGTGAGTTAACGTTTGACCCTTTATTAGTACTCAATGCATTTGGATGACTCTAAGTTTAATGCCTGTATGCCGTAAGGTCATTTGACGTTTCATAAATACTTAGACAACTGTATAGTTGTTAAACTCACCTCATAGTAGATTTTCATACAAGTGACGTATCTATTTGTCTCCCTACATTAACTATACATAGGTCCTATTCCTACTCAACATCAGCAGACCACAGCACTCATTATACTGGGAATGATAGGGGCAGAGTTTTGTGATGGGGGAAACCCAAACGACAGCCCACCTCAGGTCACGACAGCAGCAAGAGGGGGTCACGAGAACATGAAGCCATGGACCAAGCTGTTGCCAGGGTTACTGCGAAGACCCTTCAGGTTTGTATTTACATGCACACCAAATGTACACATTCATAACCATGAATGCCCTCGTGTTTGGTGTTGTAACTGCATTTTAAACAAAACTCGGTACAAAAGAGGCAGTTCTATTTTGTCGACATTCTGTAGGCTGTGTTACTGGAGAAGCCTAGCGCCAGAGCACCGCTGCATTCCAATCTCCGGTGCTCGGCAGCGGAATTGCTGGGGCGTGGCTTCCACATCTGGGAGAAATATGTGGACATTCCACAAGTGAGCCACTTGCTTGTCTCTTTAGCATAGTTATCCTACATCTACAATGTATCACTACAAAATCTCATACTTTGTATATACGGCTGGCAAATGTGGCACACTAAAATAGTAATACTCAAGTTTTTTAGTTACGTCTTCTCTTACAATAGGTTGTGATGGGTCTTCTGGACCTTGTTGTACACTACAAATCTCCAGATAGTGCCCACCATTCTTCGACCAGTACCAGCAACAAATACTCAAAGTTTGCGTCTGAAGTGGCACACAAGGCGCTCAACCTCATGATCCTCGTCAGACCCGTTACCATGGTCGCCACTCTCGCCAAGGAGGTGGCCATGTTTTTGGCCTCGCAGCATATCACGCATGCCCCGCATTCCTCTCTTCAGCCTCTGCAGGTGAGTTAAGCTGAAACTTAGTGTTAGAGTTGACTTTCAATCGCCCATTAATGGCAAGCTTAAGACTATGTGATAAATTACACTCGACTCGAACCTATTTTTATGTGCAAAAGAGTTGTCTTGTGTGTAGTTTGTATTGTTGTCTGCATGTCAGTAATAACTGCTCCTTTGAAACCAGTAATTCTACCTTGCCACAGTAATGTGTACGTTTCTTTACCAGCGCACCCTCTCTCCTCTCTATCCCAGGTAGGAGTGAATCCACCGCCTAGCACAGCTGGTATCATCACTCCCTCTAATGCCCTACTGCCAACTGCCAAGATCGAGATCCTTCACTTGGTGAAAACTGTCATAGAGAAGTGCTCGGCGCAGGTCAGTTCAGTTCCACAGCTCCCACTGGTAGCTCAGTGGGTATATAGAGCACTATGAGAAACATGTTTGCTATCTTCACTTTGTCCCATGGTGCATGTTGTTCTGCAGGTGACTCTTCAACTACTGGAGGTGATGGACGTGGTTTTGTTTTGTCTGGAACAGGAACAGATAAAGAAGAAAAACCTGTTAGACCTGTTTCCTGTCATCGCCAAGTGAGTCGAATCTCGGCTTCTTTCTTTTTAATAGTGAAAACACCTCTTTAACAGCCTTTGAATTTAGGCAATACTTTTGTAAGTGTTGGTCACATGTCCCCTCCCTACTGCGTTAACATTAATTGACTCTGGATTTCAATTTTTAGCTATCATTTTGCTATCCACTCCCTCTCATTTCTCTCTCCTCCCAACTCTTTGTTTTTCTTCCCCTTTTACCCTTTCACTGGTCCCTTCCTCCTCTCATCTCTCCCCGTATCTCCTCATCTCTCCCTAGGCTTCCCAACATCAGCTACTCTCCAAAGACCCGCAGAGTAGCGGTGGGAGCGAGGTCGGGCCAGGTTGGCATCTACGACCTGAGACAGGGGAAGACTCAGATGATGAATGCTCATTCTCACCCCGTCACTGTGCTACTGTTCTCAGACGACGGTCGTATGCTGGCCACATATGCCTATGGAGACTCTACTCTTAGTGTCTGGCAGGTAATTGTGGGCCACTTAGCCTCCTTGCATGAGGAACAATAATAGTTTTCGCATACACTTCAATGTTTGTGCAATGTACGTATGCAATGCATAGCTCATGTGCTTAGATCATTTCAGTGCCTTAGGGTTCCTAAATCCTGTGTATATTCTGCTCTATAACAGATTGCATGGCCATAATAATTGTGGCTCTCTCTCTCTTTAACAGCTGAGTTCCTCTATATTTGGGAGTACCCCACAGCCAAAGCTGGTCAACAGTTGGCCGGCCATATCGAGCTCTTCCCCCATGGCCTACTCTTCATACATCAGACTGGAGTGGTCTGGGACCAAGAGTATCATACTACATATGCCTGGAGGTGTCGAGTGCAAGTATTCTCTTTAGTGGACACCTTAGTACAGTCAGTCTATTATAGAGAGTATCAGTCTATATTATGTAACAATACAGAGTTTCATTCAAAGACCACACGGTTTTCTCTACAGATGTGTGTATATAAGTTGGTCCTATCTGTGTTTGGATCCCATGATGGTATAATGACTGTATAATTATAGCACATGCGATTATATGGAAGCGTAAAGCACTAGCACAACTATTAGAGTAAAGCTGGATTAGCTCAGAGCTACAAAGCTCAACACTCAAATCTCAACCTTGGGATTTTTTAGTCTCCCAAGAGCTGTAGGGTTGAAGATTGAGTTGGGAAAACTCAAGGTTATATATAATAGACAGATCCTCGATCTACCATTGACAGGCTCCCTTAGCCTCGTTCCCCAGCTTCCCTAAGAGGGGCACAAGGCTATGGCTCCCTAGTCATGAGGCACATGGACTTGCTTGCTCCATTACACCGTTCCATTATGCTGTCAGTTTTTCTGCGACTGATTTTTATTCACATTATTATGCGGTCGTGTTTTTCTGTAAGTAAAAATTATTTCTATTCACAGAACAAGAATAAAAATAAGTAAAAGTAAATTAGGACTCAGCAAGTCTGGACAAATATTCCATCTCTTAACTCCTCTTCTTCAAGTGGTAGTGGCTGCAGGTATGGTTTCTGCTGTCTCCTGACTCCCTCCTCTCCCTCTCCACCACCTCTCTCTGGCCGCTCAATCTTCCTCTTATTGGGTCTCAGGACTCTCGACTCCAGACGAAGAAATGCCTGCTTTGCTGCTTGTCTGCCACTCTTCAGCCGTTTTAGTAGGCTCTGTGGACAGAGAACATAATAGCAGTAATCTTGCGCCAGGAGATCGAATGCTTGTCTGATTCATCCTAAACGGCTGTGGATGATTCTCAAACCCTTACAATCAGAATTGAATACACAGCAGTAGTACCTGAGAGAGTCTTGTGGCTACTGATGACTCTTGAGACTCTGCTAGCTCGTGAGATGATTCTGCTGATTGCAGAGGCTCCAGAGATGATTCTGCTGATTGCGGATGCTCAAGAGATGATTCTGCTGATTGTGGATGCTCCTGAGATGATTCTGCTGATTGTGGAGGCTCCAGAGATGATTCTGCTGATTGCAGAGGTTCCTGAGATGATTCTGCTGATTGTGGATGCTCCTGAGATGATTCTGCTGGTGACACTTTCTGTTTTGAGGGTTTCTTCATGTGTTTGCTTAGAAGCCGATGCATAGCTCTGTGCCTACGACCCTCAGCACTCCGAGTTCTGAACAAAGAATGGGTAGGGGCAGGGGTGTTAGCAGAAGCAACATCCATAGCTGTAAGCCCCTGAAACATTAAAGTGGAATACATTTAGTGTGAAATTATCCTGGCAATGGTTACATGGCCTCCAAGGAAAGGGTCAGCCCCTGCCTTAAGCAGTAATTTCGTTGTTGCTGCATCTCCGTTGTCAACAGCAAAGAAAAGAGCTGACCATCCAATGACCTGATGAAAAAGGAAGAACAATTTAAAGAGCGAATGGAAGCAGCTGTTATCTCGCACATAAGTAAAACATTATGGTATGTGCAGTGCAGCTGTGTGCCGTGTGTGGGTTGGGTTATAACGTAGAAAAATCCCGCATTGAGATGACTAGGTAGCTCTAGGCTCTTTCCTCGCCAACTGTATCATCACTTACACTCTGAATATCAAGAGAGATGTTCTCTCCTGACAGGAGTATCTCTGTGAGATCAGTTCTACCAGTTCTTGAGGATATCATCAGGGCCGTCAACCCCTCCTGATTGAATTGGAAAACTGGTCCATTTATGGCATTTTCAGCACTGAGGACTCACCTGGTTCTGTAGGTTGAGGTCAGCTCCAGCTCTGACCAACTCCTTCAACACTGGCAAATGGTACCTAACTGTAGCTATGATCACAGCTGAGTCTCCTTCCTGTGGAAAATTATAGAGACACATGATCACTTATGACACTAGATTGTTACCTTGTTCTGCAGGTCCAGTGCAGCACCAGCTTTTACTAGCATGGGAACAACTTTTGTCTTACTCCAACTGCTGACGGCCATCATCAGTGCAGAGTCTCCATCCTGGTGATGACAGACAGACACAATGCATGACTTCACTGAAAGGTTAATCACATACTAGACCATTAACACAGCTAGATGATGTACACCTAACATGAACCACCACACCCACACATGACACTGCATACTACATACCTTATTCTGTAGGTCAGTGTTAGCCCCAGCCTTCACCAGTAGTGCAACAACTGTAGTACTACTCTCTCTGGCAGCCATCATCAGTGCAGAGTCTCCATCCTGGTAGTGACAGACAGACACAATGCATGACTTCACAGAAAGGTTCGTCACACACTAGACCATTAACACAGCTAGATGATGTACACCTCACACAGTAGAACCACCACACCCCCTCATACATGATTCTGTAGGTCAGTGTTAGCTCCAGCTTCTAGTAGCAGTGAAATAACTTCAGTCCTACCATCCCTGGTAGCCATCGTCAGTGCAGAGTCTCCATTCTGTGCAATGACAGACAGACACAATGCATGACTTCACAGAAAGGTTCGTCACACACTAGACCATTAACATAGCTAGATGATGTACACCTAACACAGTAGAACCATCACACCCCCTCATACATGATACTACCTTATTCTGTAGGTCAGTGTTAGCTCCGGCCTCTAGTAGCAGTGAAACAACTCCAGCCCTACCCTGCCCGGCAGCCACCATCATCAGCGCAGAGTTTCCATTCTGTGTGATGAGAGACAGACACAACACATGACTTCACAGAAAGCTATAACTACAGATGATGGACACCCCATAATAAGACAGCAGAACCACCCATACACGACACAACACAGAATATTATTACCTTATTTATCAGATCAGTGTTAGCCCCAGCCTTCAGCAGTAGAGACATAATTTCAGTACTAACATCCTGGCAGCCATCATCAGTGCAGAGTCTCCATTCTGGTAATGACAGACAGACACAATGCATGACTTCACAGAAAGGACTACACTATCACCACAGATGATGGACACCCCTTAACACTTAACCAGCCAACGACACATAAATGTGTCCATTGTCTCCATAAGCAGCAGGATTTTATATGGAGGTTTTAATACTAGGCGTTAATACTTTGTACATGGTTTATGCTTGTATATTAGTGGTGTGCAAAGGGTTTTAGCAACATAGTACAACCACCACACATTACCTTATTCTGCAGGTCAGTGTTAGCTCCAGCCTTCACCAGTAGTGAAACAACTTCAGTCCTACCCTCCCTGGTAGCCATCATCAGTGCAGAGTATCCATCCTGTGTGACGTGTAGTAAGACAATGATGACTTCACAAGCTAGCCTTGAAGTGTAAAGATAATATACAAACTGGAAGACTAACCTCAGCCACATGATTAACATTAACTCCAGCTGTGATCAGTACGGTAATTGTCTTCAATTCTCCTCCCTTAGAAGCAAGCATCAGCAGCTCACAACCCTAATGAAAATGACACACAGAACTACAGAACAGAGTCACACTGCAAGAGACCAATATAGAGCACATGGTAAATTTTGCAATAAGGTAGAACCGTTTTTGGACAGCATACTTTACAATCTATGTAGTCCATGGTCGAAACTATAAACCATACTTTGCATCTTACCGTAAGGTTTCACGTAGCCTGCTGGACATTTGTAACACCCAAGCTTGATCCCTCCCCTATAGGCATTGATTTTTCCCCTCAATTATTATTAAAGGGAATGTGACAGTATAAATTTAGAAATGTTACTGAAGAGAGAACAAAACAATAGGGGCATAGTGAAAGAATGCAATTGAGTTCCATTTTTAGTAACATTTAGACCTTATAATCTGCCACATTCCCTTTAACAAGTACATAAAATTGCAGTATATATAAGAAGGTTAAAGTCCCTATACCTTATTCTGTTGACGGTCCAGTGAAACAAGTAGTGAAACAACTTCAGTCCAACCCCCCCTGACAGCTATTGTCAGTGCAGAATCTCCATACTGCTTGATAAAAGACACGTGCAGTAAGACACTGATGACCTTGTATATAGATTTCCCAAATCACATCTCCTGGTGCACACACTATTTTTACCTTGTTCTGTAGGTCAGCGTTAGCTCCAACCTCTAGTAGCAGTGAAACAACTTCAGTCCAACCCCCCATGACAGCTATCGTCAGTGCAGAATCTCCATACTGTATGATGAAAGACACATGCAGTAAGACACTGATGACCTTGTATATAGATTTCCCAAATCACATCTCCTGGTGCACACACTATTTTACCTTGTTCTGTAGGTCAGCGTTAGCTCCAACCTCTATTAGTAGTGAAACAACTGCAGCCTTACCCTTCCTGGCAGCCATCATCAGTACAGAGTCTCCATCCTGGTGATGAAAGACATGTATAGTAAGACACTGATGACCTTATAGATTTCCAAAATCACATCTCCTGGTGCACACACTATTTTACCTTGTTCTGTAGGTAAGCGTTAGCTCCAACCTCTAGTAGCAGTGAAACAACTTCAGTCCAACCCCCCCTGACAGCTATCGTCAATGCAGAATTTCCATACTGCATGATGAAAGACACGTGCAGTAAGACACTGATGACCTTGCATATAGATTTTCAAAATCACATCTCCTGCTGCACACACTATATTACCTTGTTCTGTAGGTCAGCGTTAGCTCCAACCTCTAGTAGCAGTGAAACAACTTCAGTCCTACCCCACTTGACAGCCAACATCAGTGCAGAGTCTCCATCCTGGTGATGAAAGACATGTGTAGTAAGATACTGATGAACTTGTATAGATTTCCAAAATCACATCTCCTCTCCTGGTGCACACACTCTTTTACCTTGTTCTGTAGGTAAGCGTTAGCTCCAACCTCTATTAGCAGTGAAACAACTTCAGTCCTACCCCACTTGACAGCCAACATCAGTGCAGAGTCTCCATTCTGGTGATGAAAGACATGTCTAGTAAGACACTGATGACCTTGTATAGATTTTCAAAACCACATCTCCTCTCCTGGTGCATACACTATTTTTACCTTGTTCTGTAGGTCAGCGTTAGCTCCAACCTCTATTAGTAGTGAAACAACTGCAGTCCTACCCATCCTGGCAGCCATCATCAGTGCAGAGTCTCCATACTGTGTGGTGACAGAAATGTGTGAGTGAGACGACGATGACTTGGTACATATAGAGTTCCAAAACCACACCTCCTGGTACACAATTTACCATATTCTGTAGGTCAGTGTTAGCTCCAGTCTCTAGTAGCAGTGAAACAACTTCAGTCCTACCCTCCCTGGCAGCCATCATCAGTGCAGAGTATCCAAGCCCATACTGTGTGATGAAGGACAATGATAACTTGGTATAATAAAACCACACCTCGTAGTTAACTGGAATTTTACCTTAATATCTTGTAGGTCAGTGTTAGCTCCAGCCTCTAGTAGCAGTGAAACAACTTCAGTCCTGCCTTCCCTGGCAGCCACTATCAGTGCAGATTCTCCATGCCCATACTGTGTGATGACGGAACAATGATAACACAGAAAATATTCCAAGGAGGTGTACCGAAGATATCTTACCAAATCAAAGACATTCACATTGACTCCAGCGTCGATTAGTGACATTACTTTCTCAAGGTATCCTCTCCGGGAGCCAGACCTCAGCTCATCACGCTAGAGCAATAATAGAAACAACTTGTGTAAAACAGTGGCCCATATAGATCACCACATGCACTCTGGTAACGGCAAAATAACATGCTCAGTGCAACACTAACATAACAAACAGTGCCACAAAATAGGTTGAGCAGAGTGAAAATGGGCAGTCTTTCAGAGCCGCGGCCCAAGCCTGCCTGAGGGTCATCATGCACTTGCACCCTGGTACGGAAGCCCATAAGGGCCATCCATTGCAATTGTAGATTATGGAAATTTCCATTCCACACTGGAAAAATTTCCATTCTACAATTGTAATTCCGTTCTAAAAAACATTACTTCCATTCTATTCTCTTATTCTACAGAATACCTTTTGACAAATTAGTAAAATCTTTGTAATGCAATGTGTAAACAACGCAACCTGGCCAACGTCTATAATGAGGCCACTAGAAGGATCTGTTTTTAATCAGAGTAAAAGGTCTAACTACTCATACAAATGCAAGCTTGTTCTTGTCACACTAGGCTATCGCCAAGAACACTGAGACAAGTCATTGAGGCTATGTAACTAAGCACGTAAAGCTGAGTATGTCGGCTCAACACAAACGCTGGTAGTATCTAGCTAGTTGGTCCATGATCATGTATAATATGGTATGTCGTGCACCATTCGTCCTAGTGGTCTTCTGACAGTCGGGAAAGCACTAAGCGTGCCATCTTCCACAGAAACTCTGTCACCTGTCTCTCATTTCTGTTGTAATTCAGTAACCTAATGGTGGGCAAACCCTGGGCAACTCTCAGCTGTCTATCATACTGAAGTTTGGCACATCGTTATGTAAAATAATGTTTTACTAAAGTAGCGCATGGGCCAAAGGGGCTCGTTTGCAGAATTGTAGTCAGTAGAATGAAGGACTAGAATGGAAGTAGCGTTTTGTAGAATGGAACTAAAACTGTAGAATGGAAGTTTCCATTCTAGAAGGAAATTTCCATAATGTATAATTGCAGTGGATGGCTCTAATGGGCTTCCGTGCCCTGGAAAATTGTTGGCTTAGCCACACCGAATAACACATAGAAACAAGGGTCAGAACTACATATAGCACAGCATAAATATACAAGTGCTGTCCTTACCAGGTATTCCATGAGACCTACAAGATACACTACAATCCCTCTCTTCGCAGATACCTCTGTCAGGAGATGTTCCTGTCTGAACTCGGCAGTTAGGAGGACCACACCCACCATCCAACCAACCGCCTCGTGAATACGCAGGCTCACACGTACAGAGCCTTCCCCTGGGATCTCGATGTACATGGCATAGGACTCCAGAGCTGCCGTCTCCTGAATGGTCTCCTTCAACTCTCGGATTTCGTACAGCAAACACTCAGAGGGTGGCTTGTTGAGCTTCACGGTCATGCGGATGAAACCTTCCATGATTGCACCACCAGGACGAGCTGAAATGGCACAGAGGTAGATATCGACTGTTGTAGACTTTTCAAAAGCAACGAGAGAATCACGATAACTAGTCATTCTTCCCTTTAGTCCATGACAGAACTTCTTGACAACGTGAAAGATTATCTCGTAGTTGGAGTAGTTGCAGTAGTGCCCGAGAATAACAAAGAGCTTTCGTATAGTTTTAGCATCCAGGATTTCCTCCTCATTTCTACTGAAGAACCGAATGTGAATTCGCTTTTTTGCAACTGGCATTTCCAGGAGATAATCTTGAAACTTTCGAATAATCTTTGGATCCTGACTCTCCTTCTCCAAGAGATATTCTTGCGCATCGGATTTCAGGTTGAAAAATTCTTCCTGTAGGCGCTCCACACCATCTTTAGCCTCTGCTACCCTCTGTTCAAACGTCTGCCCAGTGTTATCAGGCAGGGAAATGGGACCAACGAAAGCTGGGGTTGCAGTCACTGGAGTGAGAGGACCGACAGGAGCTGCGGTTGCAGTCACTGGAGCGAGGGGACCAACAGGAGCTGGGGTTGCAGTCAC